TCATTCATTTTTCTGGACTGAATAATATCGTGCATTGAAATTAAAATGTAACGTGAGACGTTAATTTTCTTTGACCCATCAAATGAATGCGGTCATTTATTAACAGAATCAAAGTTTAACATCAAACATTTACATTAATTTGGCAAATTGATTTCAACAACAACATAATTAATTAGCAAGCTTTACAGTCAGGAAAACCATACGGCCATGGTTTTCCTTTGCTTCACAACAGACATTTCTGAAACTATCTGGAATGATTTCTGGCAAGATATAAGAGTTTAAAGATGGAAATGAAGTTTAAATGGAGAGGAAAAGATGGATGAGGGAAATGTGTCAGTATCAGAACGGCACGCTCCGTTGAGATCCCAGCTTCCTCCTCGATACACTTAGGTGGTATAAATCGACTCTTTACCTGTAGCAGGTGTCTCCACTGGTACGGAGTTCCATTTAACGCACCCTTTCAGCGTCTCCGTAGGAACAGCTGTGAATCGTCCGAAGTAGTGCCGGTATTCCGTCCGACACAGGTTCACCTCTCGGTTGGGCTCACATGAGTTGTGAGTCCGTCAGAGTTCCACTCAGATGTGGAAGATTGCATAATTCCCACGAGACTCGGAAGAACTCCGGATCATGTCTGGAACCTCCTGAACTCTCCAGCAATCCTTCTGTTCGGTTTGCTCTCCGAACTGAACTCGACTGGGCTCGACTGCACTCGACTCAAATGGTTGGAACTAGGAAGTGCCGACATTTAAAGAGTTCTATTTCCGGTTCATTTGGGAAGTTCCTGATTGGTCGATCGACCAAACAGGGGTGTGTTTTTGTGACGTAAGAGGTCACTAGAAGTCAGAAAAACAGAAAGAATGTTTTGGAACAGACTGAAGATGTTTTTGAGACAGACGAGAGGAATGTTTAGGCGAGTTGGGGGAAAACAGGTGCCAGCTTCTCTATTTACGTCTGAGAGGATTTAAAAACATGACAGTTCGTTCCAACAACTTGTTTTGCGTTTGACTCCGACATTTGACCGACATCACAACTTGCTCATTTCAGACAGAAAATCAGAAAATGCATGAATCACTCCGTAACACATTCTAACTTGATTTCCACTTTGAATGAGGATTAAAAATCACTAATACTGTTTCACAGTTGATTTAAAATGAGTAGTTCACTTCAACATTTAAAAATGGTTTGAACTAAACACACTTTGATTATCAAGAAATTTGTAAAATAGTAATGATAATAAAAAAGAGAGTGTTCTTTCAATTGATCAGTGCAGGACACTTAGAAAGTCTCTGGATGAACTTAATTTTGTGTTTCTGGACTCAAATCAATGAAATACAGTTCTTGTCCCAGGAAGGCCCTCAAGGCCAGAATTTGACCTGAGGCTTAGTTCACTACAGTGTCATCGCGCTGTGATCTTCAGTTCTCACTGGAAAGGTTCGTAGCCAAGTGTGAAGTGGCTGGGATGAGTATCAGCACCTCCAAATCTGAGGCCATGGTCCTCAGTCGAAAAAAGGGTGGATTGTTCTCTTCAGGTCAAGGGTGAGGTTCTGCCTCAAGTGGAGGAGTTCAAGTATCTCAGGGTTTTGTTCACGAGAGAGGGAAGAATGAAGCGTGAGCTTGACAGATGGATTGGTGCAGCATCTGCAGTATTTCAGACTCTGTACTTGTCTGTTGTGGTGAAGAGAGAGCTGAGCTGTAAGGCAAAGCTCTCTGTTTACCGGTCGGTCTACATTCCTACCCTCACCTATGGTCATGAGCTCTGGGTAGTGACCAAAAGAATGAGATTGCAGATACAGGCGGTTGAAATGAGTTTCCTCTGCAGGGTAACTGGATTCTCCCTTAGAGATAGGGTGAGAAGTTAATTTATCTGAGAGAGACTCAGTGTGAAACCGCTGCTCCTTCACATCGAGAGGAACCAGTTGAGGTAGTTCGGGCATCTGGTAAGAATGCTCCCTGGGTGCCTCACTAAGGAGGTGTTCTGGGCATGTCCAACTGGGAGAAGACCCCAAGGAAGACCCAGGACACGCTGGAGAGACCGGCCTGGGAACACCTTGGAATCCTCCCAGAAGAGCTGGGAGAGTTGGCTGTGGAAAGAGATGTCTGGGCCTCCCTGCTCAAGCTGTTGCCCCCAAGATCTGACTTCGGAACAAGCGGAAGATAATGGATGGATGCATAGACAGATGGATGTCCAGAGCAATAGGGGAGCTGAATGATGACAATAGGCTCATTCAAAGAGGCCTCAGTCCAGGACTGACACGTCTTCTTCCCACTTCGGTCCATTCAGAAGACACAAAGGCAGAGAGAAGTGACTGAAACACCCTACCTCTGTCGCGCCTCTATACCGCGGAGTGAGGTTGTAACAGGCCCGTAACTGTCAGCAGCTAGCTGAAAAGGTGGACCAGCTTTGTGGCTCCAACTGATTAGAATCATGTGATGAAGTACTGATGTACGTTTTGGCGATCACCTAGCCTTGGGATTTAAAACTCCAAACATCGTAGCTAGACTCCTTTCAGATCTGAACTTTCAATGTGTGTTTTTCTCTTTCTCAAACAATGATTTTTATAACCCTGATTTTGAGACCTGCAAGCTCCTTTCTCTACGTGTAGAGGGCAAAATGCTGCGACTTTGCACTAAACATAAACATCTCTCACAGCACAAGAATAATTGGCGCATCGCGTTGGTTCACCATGTCTTCAGAAATGTTGTTGAGGTGAAGAGGTCCTGCATGTGAGGAGCAACACGTCAGAGCAGCTGAGGTTTATTTCCTAGCCTCTTGATTTTACACTTCTTGGCGGACTCTGAACGCTCATTTGAGCGCAGGAAGGGACCAGCTCCATTGGTGACTTATGAGCTGCCAGTGAGTGCAGAAACACGGAATGGGCTGTGCAGCCATTTTGTGGAGCTGTCTTCTGAAAGAGCCTATTGTGTTTAAGGCAGAAACACTAAAACTTCGCAGAGCAACGTCTTGCTACGTGCAATTTATCACACTTGACAGATGTGTGAATGAATGTGTGTGTGTCGTGGACAACGTGTGACGGTGACCGCTTTTAATTTCTTCTGGAATGAGTTGGAGAGCCTGCTGCAGTAATAGTAAAACCCACGCTGCAGTCGCCTCACTGCTTCCTGCATCTCATCTCCTTCAGCATTCAGAGGCTGATGAAAACCTTCATCCTTCAGTCTTGGTTCTGTGCTGCTGTCTGGCCTGCTTGTTCTCAGCTCCTCCTCCTGTTCTCCTGAATAATGAATGACACAAGCCTCACCTGTCTCCCAGGTGCTGCACCCATCGTCCCCGTCCTGCTTTTGTTTGCCAGCTGACAGCAGCTACAGTTGGATCAGTTTACCTCCCGACCAGCGCTTCAAATCTTTACACAGCTCTGCCAGCTCTGTGTTGCATTTGTTCTTAGGATGAGTCGCAATGCGTTTTTTTTTTATTTAACCACTACATTCTATCTGATCAGGGTGTTTAATAGTTGATAATGCATTATGAGTGGAAATTTTGGCTTGCAAGACACCAGAGACCATCCAACAAAGATAAATGTGCTACATTTTTGTCATGACTTCAGGAGACAAACATAAAGTTGCTGAAAGGCTAAGATGGATCAAAAGATTCACTGAGATCCCAAAAAAATCCACTACTTTAATCAAGAACAAACCTTAGATTTGTACCTTAACCAGTAAAATGACCACACATCTAAGGGTGTAGTACCTGTACAGTACGTGAATTTTTACTTTACCTTTGTGGCACAGAGAACCAGACGAAGAGTGCTTTGGAGGTCACTGCTCTCATCTGGAAGCAGCCAGGTGCTTGTTTTGTTTAACAGCATTTTTCTGGCAGCTCTGAAAGTTAAAAAAAATCTAAAGCACTTCACACCAAAGCAAAGCAAGAATCATGAGTTCAGATGAAACGGAAGCTTGAAGATCCTGCATGCTTGTTTTAAATCAGCTGTTTGAAAAGCTTCAGTGATCACTGACATAAGTGACTGTGCAGCAAGCCAAATGGGTAAAAATGGCATGCTTTGAAATGCTCTGACAAGCCATTTGTGTATCACCACATCATCTTTCTAATGTAGCACTCACCCAGCTGAGAAGCTAGCTGAACTATTGGACGAATCTTAATGAAACTTGGAAAAAAAGAAGAAGAATCGGATGGACATCTACAACCCAAGATGACTGACACAGCTAATCAACTTCAGCAAACACAAAAATTGGCTTTAAATCAGTTAATTTTGCAGATATTAAGCTAAAATTTACTGTGGTGATAGACAAGAATCATCTTTAACTCATACTCTTTGCTCTAACTGATTATTGGAGATCTTTGTTTAAATTTTTGACGTGCAATGCACAGACAATATGCCACTTTTTATTAAAAGACCGTAAACAAACCAGAACCACTCCAGGTTTCACTCTGAGTCCATACTCACCTCTTGGTGGAGAGGACTCTGGAAGGATGCTGTCCCTCAGAGTCTACAGACAGTTGGTATTTGCCGAGACTTTAGATGCATTACGGACTCTGGTCATGCGACACTTGAAGATGCAAACATCACTCGATGTATACAGGAAGATGGAGCTCTTTCTAAAAGTCTGTGATGAAGAGTGGTTCTTCTGAAGCCGTCTGGTGGAACAGTAGCGTCAGGATCAGTGACTCAAATTAAACAAACGGGTACCAAACCTGACTTTGTTCCAGAAATGTTTCTGGGCCTCTTGGAGGTGGTGGCTGACAGATGAATGTTGCTCAAACAATATACTGATGATCCGTCAGAGTATGTTTAGTTGGACACCCTGTGAGCTTCACTGCAGTAACAGAGGTCAGTCCTGCTTGCAGCTAAAACACCAGCTCTGCCATAGCTAGGTTATTCTGGTTCTGTTTTGTAACTTTTGGGCACACTTGTGATTAACTTAAACATGCAGTATTGGTGATATTCAAAGACCTGTAACTCTGTATTGGTGTTTTTTTTTTTTTTATGTTTCAGTTAATTTATGTTGAGATTTCATTTCTTTTCCAGGCCTACGGCTCAGGGTGTGACGTGGTGATCCTGGCGTGTGACTTTGACTGTGTTCAGATCATCCCAGGAGCTCAGAATGGAAACATACAGGTGGGCTGCGTGGAGTGCTCCCACCAGCTGGGCAGGGTAAGTGTCACACCTGCTTTCACACACTTTTTCACTAAAGCCAGAGGACATTATTACTTCTGCGGAGCATAAAGATGTAAATTTGGCCATGTTTGCACTTACCTGCCCCACTCCCTACATACCTATCTCTTCTGGGAGTAACGGAGCAGAAGCTCTGATGGGGCGAGTAATGTTTTGATGACGAACACAGCTCTTTTAACTTTTAGATTGCTGCATCTTACGGAAACACAGTCTGCATCTTCGAACCTCTTTCTACCAACCCAAATAAACGCCACAAGGTGAGTACAGATGTCCTGGAAAGATTTCACTCAGTATATAGTGGATTTAATCAAACCTGTGTGCAAAATAACCTCGCATGGTGTGTCTCGCTCTCCCACCACTAACAGCAACTAAACTATCAGTGGCAAAAGACAGGACAGTTCTTTCTTGATGCCATCACCTACAACCTGGCCTGGGACCCACAAGGTATACCTGAGCTTTCTGTGTTTGAGCTATGAGCTGTGTATATTGTGAATCATAGATGTTACACACAGCTCAAACCCCTATGATCCACGTTACACACACCTTACACCCCTATGATCCACGTTAAACACACCTTACACCCTTATTACCCATGTTACTTAGAGCTCAAACCATCACAATTCATTTTATACATGTCTTATACCTCTATGATTCACGTTACATACACCTTACACCCCTATTGGCTATGCTACACAGAGGTCATACTCCTGATATTCACGTTACACACAAGTTAAACTCCTAATATTCACGCTATACATAGGTTATACCCCCAGTACCCTTTTGATGTGGCTGGAATCACGTCAGTGTTATGTAAGCATCACCTCGTGTGTGCCTGTGTGTGCTGTAGAAGTCATTGTGGGACGTGAGGTTTGTAATTTGTTGTGTTTGGGACCTCAGGGAACCGTATCCTGGCAGCGACCGAGCGGCTCCAGCTGTGGGCTCCTCCACTGACAGATGCCCTGATAGAAGAGGAGGATGGGCAGATGATGGAGGAGAAAAACCATCCTGTCCTAAATGACTGGAACTGTGTCTGGCAGTGCAAGTGGGTTGTTTCATTTTCATGCAACCAACAATATTTATAATTAAACACATATAAAATAATTTTTTACAGTAAAGTGATCAGTAAATTTCAACCACATAAATGTTTAGTCAATGTTTCATTTGTCAATTTAGGTTAATATATGTAAAAATGTTAACTTTTACTGACAGTTTAGTGATAAAGTAAAATAAATAAGATGTACTGTACTTTTCACAGCACAGCCTAAAGCTGTGTAAACAGACTTTAGTACCATGTCAGTAATTGTCAGGTGATGACTCATGGGTCACCACTGGAACAAGGAAGTCGAGCTCAGAATTTACCAGCTGTAGGTTCTGTATAAACTGTCACAGCTGGGCAGAGACTTCCTGTCCGTTTCATTTGCGTGTGGAGCATTTTTCATGGAGAAGTGAATACTGCTGATGCTGTTGTTTGCCCTTGTAGGACAGCCGGCTCTGTTCACGTTGCCAAGTGGTCTCCTGATGGGGAGTACTTTGCAACAGTTGGAAAGGTATAGCCTTAATCTGCAAACATGCAGTTTGTGTAATTGTCAGTCCTGTTGTTTACACTGTATTTTCTATGTGTGCGCAGGATGACTGCTTACTTAAAGTGTGGTATCCCACCACGGCCTGGCGCTCTGCTGTGGTGGTCCAGGACCCGTCTGATAAAAAGCCTCCTCTTGTTCACTTCTCTTTCGTTTATTTGGCCCATCCTCGCTCGGTCACCGGCATGTCCTGGAGGAAGACCAGCAAGTACATGCCGAAGTAAGACAGGACACATATTTTACACACTCCTATACATGATTGTTCTTACCTAGTCAAAGTTTCTTTATTTGTCATACGCACATACATGTGGTACATGCGGTGGAACAAAATTATGTACACAGGGTCCCAGTTGCATCCAACAAAAGTATAAATTGTAAAGAAAAACAGTAATAAGATCTAAGATATGAACTAAGAAAAACGTTAAACTAAAATAAGCACTAGTAGTGCAAAAACAATATGCCGAACACCAGCACGAGCACGTGTAGAGCTAAACTAAAGCAGGGGTCCTCAACCTGTGGCTCTTTGATCTGTCTGTAGCGGCCTCCTGTAGTTTTAAACAAAAATAAGAATATTATTTATTGTCCTAATTCTATGCTGATGCATGCTCAATAATCCAGGTAGAAAAATCTAAAAAAGTTCAATCTGGTCCTCTGGACATTCAAAAAAAAACCTAATTCTAGTTTCTGCTAGGGTTATGTTTGTAGTTGTATGCAGGTTTTTGAATGAAATCTCTGGAACAGATGAAAGTTAATGACACAAGCAGCAAAACAAATTGATCAGCTTTAGTTGATAGTTTATTATCATCCACTTCCAGCTGTACAGAGTTGTTAAATCTACCACTTATACATGTTTAACACATTTAGGCAAGATGCAGGTAAAGACCAGCTTTTAACCGTTTGTTCTTATTAGAAGAAATTAATTTAGTCATTAGTTATTAAGTTGTAAGTTTATGTTTTACTTCAGAGGGACACCTACTGAATGTGAATAATGTTTTTCATCTATCAAAGCAGGCAGACACTACGTATATTTTTCCTCTGCACACAAATGCATTATTTTGTTCTAATACCTACAATTGCTGGTTAGTTTATCTTTATTTTAATGGCTCTTTAGATTGTAAAAGTTGCACACTCTTGTTCTAAAGCATGACTAAATAACACATTATGTTATCATTGGAAGCCTTTGTTAATATCCCAAAGTAATGAATTTATTTCAAACTTCTTTAGTACCAAGGCTGGAGAACTTTCGATCAGCTGACTATTTCCTGGTGATTTCAGGGGTTCTGTGTGTAATGTTCTGCTGACTTCCTGCGAGGACGGCGTATGCAGGTTGTGGTCTGAAACCCTCTTACCAGAGGACAGTCTGCTGGGTGGACAGATCACTGAGAACTCGCACTCTTTCAGCTCCAGCCTGCCAGGCCTGGCAGGAAACAAAGACAAGATCCAGCATGCTTTGGAGGTCAGATGGAACCTTAGACTGTTCATTTTAATAAAACATAAAGAAATAATTTTTAAAAGTGTAATCTTAATAATATGTGTGCCTTCCTTTAGTCGATCCACCACCTGAAGCAGCTGCGACGGGGGCGACGGCGGTCCTCGGCTCTGGTGGCTCACAGCGAGCTGCTGCCGTCCCAGCTCGGCACCCAGGACTCTCACACCCACCGTCACATCGCTCACCACGCCAACGCCCTGTGTCACTTCCACATCTCAGCCAGTATTAACCCCAACACAGGTGAAAGCAAAAGGACTTGCATCACTAAACAACGTTCTCTGAGTTTTTATCATTTCATCATTTCTCTTTTTTATCACCCTGTCAGATATCCCATCAACGCTCGCCGACTCTACAGTATTTAACCCAGAGGACGGCTCTGGTGGGGGTGGCTTTGTGGTTCATTGGCTCAACAATAAGGACCTCAGCTTTACTTCTTCCATGGACCTCTTTATGATGCAGCTCCGCAAGTTCACAGAACAGCAGCTGGAACAGACCACCGAGGACCCTCTGGATCCTGAAGGGTCCCCCATGAAGTTCGACTTTGGTATGATTCACAAACAAACATACGATTCTTTAAGCAAGAGCAGATTGGTGTCATTGTTTTGTGGGCTTCTAGACCTAGATGAGATGTCTGACAAAGCATCCTCGGAGCACGGAGAAGAGGCGGATTCAGGGGAGCAGGGAAGCACCAAGGCGTCCTCTCCTGGGTCCAGCTCCAGTATGCCTTTACCGTCCATGCTGCTGGAAAGGAAGATGGAGACTTTGATCACAGAGTGGAACAAGAGCCCTGACATGCTGTTCACCATACACCCCACCGATGGTTCCTTCCTGGTTTGGCACGTGAAGTACCTGGATGAGTTCAACCAGGGAATATTCAGACAAGTTCAGGTAAGAAGAAAATAAAGAGAAAATAATTATTTATTAATAATAATATTAATTATTAATAACAATAATAATAATAACTATTATTATTATTAATAATATTATTAATATTATTAATATTATTATTATTGGACTCACTGGGTCAGTTAAGCTGTAGCCTAAAAATCTGATGGTTTTATCTCTCATTGCTGCAACTAGCTGGTGAACAACATTCATGAGGAAGTTTCCAGAATGTCTCGTAACATTCGTGGTGGTTCTCCAAGTCCTCACGTTTGTTCCAGAGGCATGCAGCCCTGTTGCTTATGTTTTGAACATGTTCAAAATGTTTGAGTGACTATTTTTTTCTCAAAATGGTCTCAGTCGTGTTGGGCGCCTCAAATGCGTTTCTTACGCACTAGAACTGTATTTTGAAACATGCAAGTTCTCCTTTAGCCTCAAGCATCCAGGTCTAAAAACCCAGTGAATAATAAACACTAACTGTTGAAACAAACTGGTCTAAATTTGTGATCTTCATTTCTAAAGTGTACTCCAGCAGATAAAATCATAAATGTAAGTGCATCTGCTGATAGAGTTGCCTGAACTCGTATAATTTTTTCTGAGCCCGACTCATATCCGACCAGTTAACTGTGATTACAGACCCGAACTCAGGAAAAAAAAAAAGTTTTTTTTTATTAGGCTTTTACTGCTTTTGTAAGCAAATCAGTTTGACATGAGGGGTTTAAAAACATATTTCAAAGAAAGGAAGATATAAGATTTCTTGTTTATTAACAAGAGTCAGCAGATTATTATAGTTATTATAATATTATAGTTATTAACTGTCGTCAACCGCGCGTTGCTGATGATCCAAATTGGGTCGTTGGCCGCTGATGCAGCGCGCGTCCTCTGACGCAGCGGCTGAGTCCAGTTAAGCTTCAGGTGTGTCGATGGCAGTGAGCCATCTGGACTTTTTTTTTTTTTTTACCTTTTTCAACTGGCCAGGCTTGACCAGGCTCTGCCGCTGATGAAGAGGGAACAAAGGAAGCAGAGGTTAGCAACAAAATAATATGAATGCCTAGTAATGCAAATTTTCAAACCGTGCACACAGAAACGAGTCTTGACTTTCAAAAACTTTTTTCTTAAAACTTGGCTGCTTGGCTTGCTTTTCTTCATCACCTAGGGTTCAGTGAGACAGCTATGGACAATTTGCTGAAAATCAGAAATTTTCTTACAATTTTGGGTCTCCAACGGTTACAACTCAATGAGATAAAAACATGGCCCTTATTTGTTCCTCACAAACTTTTGGTTACCAAGGTAACCCTTGTTCTCTGAGAACTGAGTGACATATCTCACTATGGGAAGCGCCTTCAGGCGTGACCGATTGTGGAAGCTCCAATACCACAACGTCTGTCATCGACAGACCAAAACATGCTTGGCACGGGAGCGCCCTCCCCCTTTTATAAGCGCCTCTGCTCTACACTTAGCATTCTCACGTGCATTTAAACCACGTAACCATGCAAGCAGGGCAGTGTGGTGAGATACCTCACTCAGTTCTCAGAGAACCAGGGTTACCTCTGTAACCAAAAGTTCTCTTTCAAACCTTGCTCGGTATCTCACTATGGGAGATATAGCAAACTACTGGATTGCATGCTCTGAAATATAACCACACCTCAGACTAAGACATGAATGAGCTAAGAACCCACACTAAGGATGGAGTGTGCCAGTGATGACTCAGTCCCATCCAGACGGTAGAATGTATTGAAGGTATAAAGGGATGCCCAGCTGGCAGCCACACAGATATCCCCCACAGAGACACCCTTATAATGAGCCCACGAGGTAGACATACCTCTGGTGGAATGTGCTCTCAGGTGCTCTGAAGGCTGCAGCCGCTGACTAGAGTCTGTGATAAACGAGCCGCAACGTAGTGAGGGACTACTGAAGACTTATCACTGACAGCTGCTGTTCCCTCACTCTGTTCAGCACTTATTTTATCAGGCTGAGAGGTGGAAACGCGTACAACAGTGCGTCTGGCCACGGATGCACCAACACATCCACTCCTAATGGCGCATCCTGTTTCTCATGGAAAAGAACAGAGGGCATTGTGCGTTACACGCAATGTGAAGAGATTGACGGATACCCAGCTGAACTTCTCCCACACCTGGTGGACTACCTCTGTGTTTAGTGTCCACTCCCCCATAGAGTGAATTTGCCCCGGAGAGCAAATTTGCTCTGTTCTTCAGTGCTCTGGGAATGCGCGCCATGCATAATGACCACAGGTGTGCACTACTTCACTTGGTATCAGGCTAGGAGTCAGTTTGCCTCTCTGCCAGTTTATGTATGCTACCACCATTGTATTGTCCATTATGACCAAAACATGACAACTTTGTAGCAACAGCAAAAAATGTCTTAAAGCCAGGAAAACTGCCATTAATTCCAGGTAATTTAAATGTGCCTGATGGAGTGTCAGGGGCCATGTCCCATTTATCGACCTCCCCTCAAAGACGGCTCCCCAGCCTGACAACGAGTCGTCCATTGTAAGAGCTTTCCTCATAATCACTGCTCCCAGCAGCGTGCCAGTTGTGAGCACATCTGGATTTCCCCTGTCCTGAAGCGAGCGCACATCTGGGAGGAACCGTACACCTGAGGTGACGCCTCACATCCAGCCGCAAGGAGGAGACCCAGCGCTGGAACACTTGCGTCTTCAGAAGCCCCTGAAGAACGACAGAAATTACTAATGCCATCAGTCCTGTGTGACCCAGTTTCCCCTGCGGAACAGTGCAAGATGCTGACAAAATCTTTCCACCCTCTCCTTTGTCAGAAAACCTCGGCAGGACACAGCATTTATTTTGAGGCCTAAATACTCTGTTTTGTGAGGCAACCAGCACACTCTTGGCCTGGTTTATGCAAAACCCAGGCTGCACAAGCTATGTAGAGTCTGTGTATCTCTGTCTGTGTGCTCCCTGCTGGATGCGCACACCAGAAAATTGTCACTCTGAGACCCGCTGCTTGAGCCGGGTTCAGAGCCACCTCCATACACCTGTTGAAAACCCTCAGAGCTAGTGACAGCCCAAAAGGGAGGGTCTGATATTTGAAGGCTACACCCTGATAGGTGAACCAGTTGTGTGAACATTTGCAAAGAAATAATCTGTTTGAAGAGTTTCAGTTAGGGTTTAGAGCTCATCATAGCACAGAAACAGAACTGGTGAAAGTTATTAATGATATTTTCATGGCCTCTGACAATGGACAGATGTCTATACTGGTCCTGTTTGACCTCAGAGCTGCAGTTGATACAGCTGATCACAATATTCTACTACAGAGACTTGAATATGATATTGGGATTAAAGGAACAGCTCTAAATTGGTTGAAATCATATTTATCTGATAGATTCCAATTTGTAAATGTAAATAATGAATCTTCATCATACACCAAGGTTTGTCACGGAGTTCCTCAAGGTTCAGTGCTTGGACTAATACTCTTTACCTTATATATGCTTCCATTAGGTAAAGTTATTAAACAGCACGGGATAATTTTTCATCGTTATGCTGATGATACTGTTGTATTTGTTCATAAAACCCAATGAATCCAATCAGTTACTTAGACTACAAGCATGTCTTAAAGACATAAAAACCTGGATGACTCTAAATTTTCTACTTTGAAACTCAGACAACACTGAGGTTTTGGTTTTTGAACCTGAGCATTTTAGAATACATTTTTCAGTCTTTCACCCTCTTTGGATGGCATTAATCTGACCTCTTGTTCTAATGTTAAAAATCTTGGTATTATTTTTGATCAAGACATGTCTTTTAAACTCCACATTAAAACCTTGATTGGTCACACCTGAAGGTGCTTCCCATAGTGAGATACCGAGTGAGGTTTGAAAGAGAACTTGATGTTTGTCTGTTTCTTAATCTACAGCTCTTTTTTATCAGTGAAAGTGCTGGTTAGCACCAGGTTTTAAAAATAACCACAACATAAATTTTTCACAGATGTTTTATTTTTTATTCATGAGTCAGTCTGCTCCTGTTAGGAGTGTAGGGCTTCATCTTTATAATGGTGTTGGAACACAACAGAGTCCTCCTCACACCACATGGCAACTGCTCTGATGTTGAGGCTGACAAATGTCTCATTGAATAATATACTTTAAATCAAGTAACATTCCTTGAAGGAATGCATATCGTCCACTGCATGCATACCAAAGTTTTAATAACTTTTTCACATAATCTGTTAGTGCTTACAGTCTGTGTTGAGATGACTCTCAGCTACTACCACACCAGATTTTAGCCCAATGCCTGTAAAACTGACCGAGTTACAGCTGATTTAATGTTCACAGTTGATTAGTCATGGTAGCCATCTTGAATTGGATTGACTTCATAAATTAATTACTTAGTGTTAGATGTATATCCAATAATCACTTTGAGAGTTTGTTTAAAATCGGTCCTGGTTCACAAGATATTTTGCTAACAGTCAAACTTATGCACACACCAAGATGCTGGCAATTGCATGATTACCCGTGTAGTTCTAGAATTGCGCTGCTCAAGGTGGCTACATGTTGGAGCAGCTCTGTTACTTTCATTCTGAGATTTTGCTTTTGGAAACTTTAATTCCTCCCTTTCTGGATGTAAATCACATTTTTTTGATGATTGTTTCCTCTGGTATCGGATGCTGTGCAGCTGGAAGGATTTTTACTGAAACTTTTTTAGTTTTGGAGATTTGTTATGATGCGTAACCATGGCAACAAGGCAGTTTTCTACAACCAACAGCAGCTGATTAACATCTCAAAAGCTCAAATAATATCTCAACTACAGCCCAAAATCTCAAATGAGTTGAAAAGGATGTTCTGTGGACGCATTCTCATCTACCTGCCAGCTGTGCTCGAGTGTCTGACCACCGAGATCCTGGAACTAGCAGGAAACATGGCTCGTGACAGCAGAAGGACAGGATCGTCCCCCGACACCTGCAGCTAGCTGTCTGCAGAGACGAGGAGCTCAGCAGACTGCTGGGAGAAGTGGCCATTGCTCTGGGAGAAGTTCTGCCCGGCATTCGGGCGGTCCTACAGCCCGGGGGAACGAGTGGCCAGCCGAGTCTGGGTGGACTGATCGAACGGCATCTGCAGCCAGTTTCTTAGGATCTGCTGTGGGATGGACCTTTACAAGAGATCCTTCCTGTCTACAGCCATCAGCATCTATAACATCTCTTAATGAAATGAGGATAACGAGTTACAACAACAAATAATTTCCCTTTGGGATTAATAAAGTATTTTTGAATTGAATTGAATTGAATAGAATTGTTTTGTGGTGATAAATATCCAAATGTTTTCAGCTGTGTTTAACAGTGTATTGGTATTATTTTTGCTGATGATAAATTGGGTAAACTAGTTGAAATTTGTGTAGCACTGGTGGAGGATTTATGTGTTTATTCCACTTTGTTTCCAGGTGTCCTTTTCCTCGCGCATTCCCGTAGCGTTTCCTACGGGTGACGCCAACTCTCTGAGTAAAAACATCCTGATGTACGCCTGCACTCTGACTGAGGGCGAGAGCGCTGGGACAGGTGAACAGGGACGGATGGTCCAACGTGTCGCCCGCTCCGCCTCCATCACAGCCAGTCTGGGTTCTGCTGCCGTGTCCCCATCGCCTAAACTCCGGCCCGGCATTAGTCCTGCTGTCATGATGGTCTCCAAACACGTGGACGGATCTCTGAACCAGGTCCAGGACTGACAGTCACCGTGTTCTTCCTTTTAATAACCACTCTTAAACAAGATTCTTCTGAATATTTAGCTAATTGTTTTGCAGCATTTAAATTTTACAAAATGTGCAGTTATAAAGCTGTAACTGTGAAATGCTGAGTCAGCGTTCATGCAAATGACAGACTGTTTTGTTTTATTTTCCTCCATATTTTTCCATCAAGTTACTTCATACTTTCTGTGGATTTAAAATTCCATAAAACAAAGCGTTCGATTTGATGGGGAACTACTGTTAGCTTTTAGCTAGCCTTTGGCCATTTTTAGGTTACAAAATTGCTACAGTTTAGCTACAATTTTGATATTTTAGCTGCTGTTTAGCCTCTTTTTCTATATTGCACACTGCATTTTTTGTTGTTGTTATGTAATTTTCCCTTGCTAGGGTTAATTTAGCATCCATTTTGCTACTTTTATCTGTAGAATATCTAGTTAATTTTAGCTCCATTTAGTTTTAACATCTGTTCTGCTGATTTTAGCTTCTAGTTTCTGTTCTGCTTATTCTTAGCTTAGCCTGTAGCCTTTCACTCAGTTTTTGTTGCTTTAGCTAATTTCAGCAGTCGTTCAGCATAAATATTTCTCCTTTTTTTAGTTTTTTGTTCTCGTCTGTCTTCACAAAACATTTGTATTTTCTTGTCATCAGTGGGCCGTCACGTTTGCTGACCGTTCTGGCTTCTCCAACGTTCTGACCGTATCGCACAAGACCCGGTACTGCGGCCATCGTTTCCACCTGAACGACCAGTCTTGCCACACGGTTCTGCCGCTGCTGCTCACCTCCTCTCACCACAACGCCCTGCTCACGCCCCCCTCGGCCCCCAGCAGCATGGATGGCGAGCAGCTCCCAACCTTTCCTCTACCTAAAGGACTTCCCAGGTACAGAACGGAGGACCTGTGTCTCCCTGGGTGGATTATGCACAGTTTTGTTTTTGAGAAATAGCAAATGTTTTCTTACGTAATGAGAGCAACGCCCACAGACGGACCAGTCAGTGTGATTTTAATATTTTTTTACTGCTCCATATTAAGCTGCTGTGCTAATTAATACTGCCTCCTGAGCTGCCAGAACTGCCACAATAAGAAATTGACTTATTGTTTTTAATTTATGAAGATTACATCAAAACATCCAGATTATGCACGTACCTTTGTTTTAAGTATTTGTCTGCAAGCGTGTCTTATATTAAAAAACAGGCAGAAAAATAAATGGATCAGGAGCACATTATTAAAATGTCATTAATGCTGCAGACTGCAACACATTGTGACAAGAGTTTATAAAGATATTTTTCTACTTTAACAGGAAACAGCTTCGTAATGCAGCTACAAGGACCTTTCATGACCCCAATGCTATTTATAGCGAGCTGATTCTGTGGCGCGTTGACCACATCGGACCTTTGTCTTGCACTGGAGGGGTCTCTGAACTGGCCCGGATCAACTCTTTGCACACATCTGCCTTCAGCAATGTGGCCTGGCTGCCTACTCTGGTGCCCAGCTCTGTTCTCGGTAAGAACTTTGTTCCTTGATCTAGTCAAAATTTTAACTACCAACAGATTACCAGTAATCTCTATGGATCCTGGGATTCATGAGGGGATTAAGAAATTTCTGAGACTTTTCATCAACTTCAGCATTTTTTCAGACCAGTTGCCTTTGTCTTTAAAATACAGCAACATCACTTTTTGTCCCCTGTCGCAGAGCGAAGAGGGGGATTTGAAAATACCTTTCATCTGTTCATCTGTGCATATTGTGAACATGATAACTTGAAAAATAAGTGAAGTACTGATTTCCTTTTTGGTGTATTGCTTCGTCTAGGTGTAAGAAAGGTTTCTTTCGAAAACTGGGTTGCCATGTCAAAATCCAAGATGGCCACCACCATATCTAAATTAAAACTGGTCACCTCTATCATTTGAGGAACTATGCTTTCTAGTTTTTTGCTTCAACATTTAGTTTCTTCAAATGATTGGGGTGGGCAAAGATTAATCTATGGGGGCCGAGGCCACCATTGGCCACCCCCTGGCTCCACCACTACACCTGCTAGTGGATAAAACTGCTCCCTCCTCTCACCAGCATCAGTCATTCTGCGCTGCCTTGGACAAGAAAACAAAAAAACTACCTCAGTTCTTCAGTGTAACTTTTAAGCACGTTAATACTTTGCACCAAAAACATTAAGGTTTATTTGCATTCTGTGTTCAAGTCTAGTCCCGAAAAACACTCATGTAAAAACTACATACGAAACATTCACTGTTCAGATCCCTCAGCAACGGGGGACATCGGGCCACCACTTGTCTACATATTCATTCAACCTTTATGTATACAGGTTAGTCCCATTGATGCAGTCTCCTCTGGTAGAACAGCAGCAGAGCTTCATAAAACATATTAAAAAGTTGCTCAAATACCAGAGCAGGAGTTGTGAGTTTGATTTTCCTTCACACCTTTCAGATACCAGGCCCGTGTGGGGAGCAGTTTCAATGCTCTGACCCCCATTCAGCATTTCACAGGGCACACCCCATGAAGTTATTTTTAATTGTTCTTTAAGCAGCCAGAGCTGTTTTATTGGCAGGAATGGAAACTACTTAAAAAAAAGAGTATTTTAGTTGATTGCTGTAGACTTTAAGGTGTTTTTAAAAATGAAGAGACATGTCTTTGTTGTGAATATTTAGAAATAACTTTGTTGATATTTTTTGGTAAAGCCTTGCTCTCTGCTACCTTTTTATCTGCACAAACACATGTGATAAGTTTGAATATTATTATACATTGTTTAAAACAGCGACCTGTGCTGTGTCCATCAGGAACCTACTGTAACAGTGCCAGCGCCTGCTTCGTGGCATCAGATGGTAAAAACCTGCGTCTCTATCAAGCTGTTGTTGATGCCAGGAAACTGCTGGATGAGCTGTCAGATCCGGAAACATCTGTGAGTGAAAACACTGTTTTACTGCACATTTTAAAGTTCTTATCTGTTGAATGTGAGAAATACTTTCTGGTCAGTAAATGTTCTGTGCGTCGGTATGACTTTTATCATTAAAGAGGTGAAGCTGAGACTTGAGCAGCTTTAAGAAATACCAGAAATGTATTAAAATACTCTAAAAACATAACCTAAAGCTCATCGTTGTCCTTATTGTCCTTGTCAATATCATCACAAGAATCAGTCATTTGAATACAACTGCAGCTAAAGCAGTTTTTTTGTCTTTAATGCACGATTTGTCTCTCCTCAGAAACTCGTAGGTGAAGTGTTCAACATTGTGAGCCAGCAGTCCACTGCCAGACCTGGATGCATCATAGAGTTGGACATCATCACAAACCAGGTTAGCAGCTGCTCTCATCCTCACATTTTACAAGGCTTATAGAGCGGTAAACAGAGATTGTGCCTTAAAGTCTTTAATGAACACGTGTAGTAAACTGCTCCATACGTGTCTCCAGTGTGGCTCCAATACTCAGCTGCTGCACGTCTTCCAAGAGGATTTTATTTTAGGCTACAAACCTCAAAAAGAACAAGAGGCATTCACACCAGCCTTTTCCACCGGAGAAGGTATTTACACTGTTAAATTAAATTGTGCAAGTGTTTTTATTTATTTATTTTATTTTGTTCTTTTACCCTAAATCTGATCATTATTGGATAAAAAATATTTTATACACCACGCAGATTTTCAACCTGCTCCGTTTTCTGAGAAGTTCTTCCTGGTGGTGATAGAGAAGGATCTGAACAGGAACTCTGTCCTGCAGATGTGGCACCTGCACCTCCAGTCTGTGCAGGCGTGTGTTGGTAGGTCCAAAGAGCACACAACTGGGCTGGGTCAGGAAAAACCTGAACTATCTGGATGTTTAAACATAAAAGCATGATTTTAAATAACCTATTCTTATGTGGACACCTGCTTGTTTTCTGGCGTACAGTTTATACCAGACCAAATGATTTAAAAATATGTATAACTATATCTTGTTTATCATCATCATACTACTTCAGGATACTTTCAACTTTTTTGTCTTTCATGTTGCAAAACTTTCAGCTCATTTAGGAGAACGGTGCAATGACTTACGTTACTCTTTCAAATATTTGACTTTATTTACAATTTTTGTCATAGAAATACACCTAGATGTCTTCAGTTCCTTCAGTAACACTCTTCTCTTTATATCTGCTTCAGCTACTGGCTCTGTTTTTGTCTTCTTTTAGCTACTGTTTGACCAATTTTATTTTCAGTACCAGATTTGCTCATTTTAGCTGTCATTAGGCTGATTTTTTCCCAAGTTTTGCAACATCTAGCTACTGTTCTGCTGTTTTCAGTTATTGTTTTGCTTGTTTTAACTTCAACAGCTCAGGTTTATCTCCTTCAGCATATTTCAGTAAAGTCATTCAGCGCCCAGCACAAGTTTTGCCTAAAATGTGATTTCTCCAGTTTTGTTTTGTTTTTTGTGTGTTTTTTTTTCCAGATGAGCCAAGCCAACAGTTTAACTTCCAGAGTCAGCTGATGGTTCCTAATCAAGCCACAAATGCTGACTCTTCTCCGGAGACTTCTCCCATCAGACCCCTGCCACGCTCAGCTTCTTCAGCTAACCTTCAGTCAGCGAGTAAATTGATCCTCAGCTCCAGGCTGGTGTACAGCAGGCGGCTGGACTTACCCCATGGGGTGGAGGTTACGAGAGCTACACCTTCAGCAGGTTGGAGACTTTACATCAGATCCTGTTATTGTTGTCAAATTAAAATAAAACCATCCTGAATATGCAATGTTGGCATGTTTGAAGGCTTTGCTGTAATCTGATTTATTCCTTTCTCACAGGTCACCTGAGTTCCTCCTCCATCTACCCTGTGTGCCTTGCTCCGTACCTGATCGTCACCCCCTGCTCCGATTCTTACGTGCGGTTCTGGCGCTGCGCCGTGGAGGTTGATGATGGCTATGATGGAGAGAGCCAAGACAGGTGGACGTACCGCTGGGAACCCTGGGTGCTGATGAACGAGGAGGACGACAACAACAGTTCTGTGTGCGTGTCAGGTCGACCCGTAGCTGTGTCCTGCTCCTACATCGGCCGGCTGGCTGTAGCCTTTAAACAGCCACGTCATGGACAGGTAGGAGATAAACTCTTTACCCACTAAGAAAAATTTACTACCTAAAAAATGTGTTGTCGCTGGCGACGCACTCATAATAAAAGGCTTAAACTTAGCAGAACTTTCACTATAATGCTGTTTTTTTTTTTTTTTTTTTACTGTTTTATGTTTTAAATACAGGAAATACAATTAATTTCTCATAAATCCTCTGAAAGTGGAAGTGTAGGTATACATCAGCTTATAAATGGGTGCTTGCTGCTTTCAACTGATACTTTTATTTGGATGTTTAATTTGATTAAAAGCAGTGATTCTACAAAAATAAATCAGGTTAATGAAGTAAAAAAAATGTTTAATAATTTAAAAAAAAAACTGAAATAGGTGAATGCATTTCTTTTCAGTTCCAAAACTCTATGTCTCCTACTCCTGCTTCAGTTCCAACATCAGGTCTCTTCAGGTCCATCACCACTATTTCCGTTCATCTAACTTAGATGTTTTGTCCGTTCTTCATGACCAAACATCTCCAGCTCCTTCAGGGGTGCTGCTTGTGTCCAACAATCTTTAAATCAAACTCAGAACAGGCCTGGCTTTAACTGGACCATTCCAGGACATTTACCTGGTTCTCCCTAAACCAGTGGAGTGTTCTTTAGCAGTGTGTTTAGGGTCATTGTCCTGCTGGGAGGACCTCCATCCCTGTCTCAAACTACTCAAAGTGTCCTTTAATTCTGACCTGTTTCCTAGTCCGTGCTGATGAAAAACATTCCCACAGCATGATGCTGCCACCACCATGCTTCACTGTAGAGATGTAGCTCTCAGCATGATGAGAACCTGACATGTCCTTGATGTTTGGGTGTTTTCATAATGTCTTTTTCTTGCCACACCTCCATGAAGTCTTGTAGCATAATTTGGAGTGAGTCCTAGTACCATCACCAAATTGAAGGCCACGTCCCAAATAACAAGGAGTGTCAGAGACAGCCTGTGAAGTTGGAATCCCAAGAAAAGGACTACAAGAAAGCAGTTTCCTCACCATGTCAGCTTTTAGGAGCTGTAGGCAGTCTTCTGTTGATTTACAGTTGAGGTTTGCTGGACGATATGGCAGATGGCTCTCTACCCAGACAATCCAGAACAGACTCTAAACAGCCACTCTCCAACTCAGAAGGCTACCAGAAGGCCTGCCATAACTGTTCTTCACCATCTGGCCCATTTCCACTGATGAAAAAAGCATGTATAATAACCTGAACTTTTGGAGGAACATTACGTTCAGTGATGAGTCCAGATTCTGCTACAGCAGTTCAGAAGACACTGAACACTTTGCTGATTTTACCTGTAGGGTAACAGTTTTTGTTGGAGGTAGTGTGATGGTGTGGGATGGGAAAACAAGTCATCAATGGAAGCATTCTCAATCCAGAGAGAGATTGATATGAGATTCTTTAACCAGTAGTGAACTCAAATCTCTACAGTCCTGGGCAGAACTCTGTCCTCCAAAATGACAACACTTATCCACACAGAGCAGGGTTTATCAGAGACCACCTGCAGAATTTGGTACTTAAGAGGCCTTCGGTCTTGACCTCAACCCCCTTGAACAGCTGGGGGATCAGTTTAGGTATGCTGTTTGATCCAGAGTGACCAAAACAACTACCATAGCTGACTTGCGACAAATGCTGGTTGAAGAATGGGACACCATCCCACAGCTGTGTGTGATCAAGCTGGTGAGCAGCATGACGAGGAGAAGCCAGGCATGTATGGTTCTTCCACATGCTACCAAGACCCCTGATTGTTATATGAATAAAATTGCCAATATGTCTTGTTTCTCCAGACTTCAATCACTCAATCCAAAAAACACTAAACAGAGGCAACAGAAAAGGCTTTTTGGCAGAGAAGATTTGGCAACTTTTTCATGGACAAAATTCACAAAGTCAACTCTGCTGCTCAACATACAAATGCATTTTCCTTACAAATGTGGCACTTTTTAAGCAGAAATGAACAAGTAAAAAAATAACAGCTAAAAGTACATAAAACAGAACAAATACAGATTACGGTATGTATACATCTGCAGATTTTATTAGCCTGCACGTCTGTTCTGTGTTTAAAGTAAATTTAGTTGTACTTAGTTGTATCTTCAGATTTGACCTTTTTCTCAGAAATGACTGTAAAGATGTGTCTTGTGTCCTCAGCTGCATGGTCCTGGAGAGGACTTCTCCATGAATGTGTCCATCTATGAGTGTGAATCTACCGGTGGCTCAGAGTGGGTTTTGGAGCAAACTGTCCACCTTGACGACTTCGTCAGACCCTCATCAACTCTGGATCCCAGAGTCAGTGTGGATTCCAACCTGTTTGTCTACAGCAGGTCAGAATGCAGACCCATGCATGTCTGTGTTGTTTTATCCTAACTCTGCTTTACCTTTACACTCAGCATGATTCATTTCTCTCAGGTCTGACCTGTACATGAGCAGAGACCACAGCTCCCCCAACATTAAGCACTTTATCCACCTGGACTGGCTGTCCAAGGAGGACGGTTCTCATATCCTCACTGTTGGGGTGGGCTCGAACATCCTCATGTACGGACGCATCTCGGGGGTGGTCAGTGAGCAGACCAGCAGTAAGGAGGGGATGGCCGTCATCACCCTTCCTCTAGGGGGCAGTATCAAGCAAGGGATCCGTTCACGCTGGGTTCTGCTGCGGTCCATTGACCTCTTGTCTTCTGTGGATGGTACTCCGTCACTCCCGGTCTCCCTGTCTTGGGTGAGGGATGGAATCCTAGTGGTGGGTATGGACTGTGAAATGCACGTGTACGCCCAGTGGCACCAGGACAAGAAGCTCGGTGAGGGAGAAGAGGGCAACCTGTCGTCTGCAGACATCGCTGGAGGTCAAACCACAGGTTCCTCTGTCTTTGAAGGGAGAGCTCGGTCTAAGAGTGTGTTTGAAGGGAGTGCTGGGGTGGATGAAGCCCTCCGAGCCCCAGCAGGACTACAGGAAGGTGGACTGTTCGAAGCGGCTCACTCCCTGTCCCCAACTCTACCACAGTACCATCCAACTCAGCTGCTGGAGCTCATGGACCTGGGCCGAGTTCGCCGGGCCAAGGTGAGTCTGTTTCTGCCCGTTTTAGAAACTATTGGTTTCTTAGATCTAAAATCTGTTTTTTTTTTTCCTATTTATACCACATAAAAATGAGAATAAAACAGACAAAGGAATGAAAAATATTTTGTATAGCAGAGTTCCAGAGTCTTTAAAAGTAAGAAAGAAAATGGCAGCCGGTAAAGATATTTCTGTTTCCAGACTTTTGTTCTTTAATTTACTTTCTAAATACAAGGGTATTATACAAGGGTTAAGAATGGGAATTTTGAAAGTAATTTGCTGCAACAGTGAGTTCTTTATTATTATAAAATAAATATTTAGTCAGTTTTAGTTAAAATTCTGAGACATTTTGTGAACGAAGCACTGGTGGGCATGATGTTTCCTCAGGGATCACTTTGGCTCAGTTCATGGGTCCAAAGGGCCACAAAATGGACACAGAGTGCACTGATATGCAACTATCATACACAGCATCACATCATCTGCAAAAGTCAACAACACACTGATTTATTTTACCTGACAGCGTAAATCTAACACGAGAGACATTTTCCACACAGATTTTTGGGTCAGATTTGTCAGAAGTTTTTTTTGTACCTCTTTAAAGGTTAGCTCAGTTTTAAAGATTTTTTTTTCTTCACTTGTCCAACAGTTCCTGTGAGGGAACAGTGGCGGCACTTCATTTAGGCATCATTTATTGCATAGAAAATCATATTTATTCTGATTGTGTTTTTAGACCTTTTTTAGTATAAAAAAAGTGCTTTTGTTGGTAAATGGAAGAAAAAAAACTAAATTGTGTTGCAACTTTTCACAAGACTCATTACAATTTTTTTTTTCAAGTTTTATCTTTGCATTAGAAAGTTGAGGGCCGGCGTGAGATGCCTCAGGGACGACTTCTCGCCCTCGAGCCTTTTTTTACATGGGCATGTTTCATAAATGGAGACCTTTTGCTGAATGTTGCACAATGGTTGCAACTGGACTACCACATTTAGCTCTGGATAGTTTTAAGATTTTTCAGTTACTTAAATGAACCGGTTTTACTTAATGAACAATATGCTTTTTTAAAAGACTCAAACTGTTTGATTGAGACCATAAATTTGGCACAAATTCAGACAAGAATGTATTTATTTTTTCCACAAGTGCTGTGCCATGAAGGACATCTTTTGTGTATATTGTTTAATTTTAGCTAAAAGTTTGTACTGTCACATTAAAAATTACCTGGAATTTGTCAGAGGCCTGTGAAACTGCGTCTGTAAGTCTGTACCTTTGAAAGTGAAGATGTGTAGGAGTCCTGGTATCAACTTAATAAGCCTTGAGCTTCTTCTGTGTACAGGCCATCCTTGCACACCTGGTGAAGTGTATCGCTGGAGAGGTGGCCGTGGTGAGAGATGTGGAGGGGGGCGAAGGCGGATCCAGGAGACATCTTTCTCGGACCATTAGCGTGACTGGCAGCACAGCGAAGGACACGATGGTGACCGGCCGCGACAGTGGCAGGGACTACACAGAGATCAACTCCATCCCTCCTTTACCTCTCTACGCTCTCATGTTGGCTGATCTGGACACCTCATACAAGGGGCCAGAAGAAACCGCCAAAGTGACCAAGGTGTCTGATGGCGACGCAACCCAGAAGTCCACAGAGGACCAGTATGCTGACCTCTTTCAGGTAGGACTGGTGACCAGGTGGCTGGTTGGTGACGATGCACCTACTGACGTGTGGTCTGCTCTGACAGGTGCCAGCGGTCACCACTGATGACTTTGTGAACTTTGCTACTGATAAACCAGAGAAGAAATCCAGATTTATTAACCTCTCCCAGTATGGACCCACTTACTTTGGACCAGAGCACGCCCAGGTATTGTTTATGAATCAAATGGTCAGAAATGATCAAGCTATAGAATCATGTGGTTCTGGTTAAATGGAAGAATAATTTCTCCACGGAGGAACTTGTTAATGACAATTAAATTTTCTGATTTTTACAATAACAATATTCTGCATTTTATATCTTCTGTCTGTGTGTGTGTTCAACTGTCTGTCTTTCTGTCCATCTGTCTATCTGTCCATCTGTCTGTCTAGGTTCTGTCCAGTCATCTGATGCACTCCAGCCTTCCAGGACTGACGAGGCTCGAGCAGATGTTCCTGGTGGCTTTAGCAGACACCATCGCAACCACCAGTGCTGAGGTGACCAGCTCCACGGATCAACAGTACACAGGTTGGTACCCTCTGTGTGTGTATGGACGCCATTTTGGCTTCTCATCAGAAGAACTATGACTCCGTCTTTAATGTGTAAAAAATGTATTCTTTATGCAGAAAGCATGGGCTGCAGTAGCTTGGTGGTTGGTGTCGTAGCCTTGTAATCCTGAGGTTGTGGGTTCGAGCCCAGGTTGCATCAGGTTGCATTCACGCAAGCTTGCTTGTTGTGGCAACCTCTATAGAAGGGAGCTAAAAGAAACTTACTATGCACAAAGTAATGCTAATGCTAGATGGCTATTTGCAGCAGATTTGTTTGTGTTTGATTAGCCATGGACCAATATGAAATGACCTCATGCAAAATGATCAGTTTTGCAAAAATAAAGCAAATTTAAAAAAAATTTAACGAATCATTTATTTGATTTTATTTAATCACCAAAATTAAATAATTGATTCTGCTGATTAAATAACATCAAATATTGATCATTAATTATTATTTTATACTGTAGGTATGATTGTGTATTCTAAATAAAATATTTACTCTGAGTTATGTTGAAACCCGTAATCGACCCGTGCCTAGGTCTGATGTCGTAAATATTGTGAGGCGTTGCCTTTAAAGTTATAGAAATAAACTTTTATCTTCATTTTGTTGTGAGATGTCATCAGAAGCAGGACACAGGTTGTAAATTTTCAGTTGATATTCATCAAACCAGTCGTGTATCTGACAGGAACACAGTTTGAATGAAACACGACTGCAGTAAAATGATGCAGGTGGTCATCTGCAGCATCTCAGGTTCATCTCTCCATCAGATTGATTCAGGTTAAAGCTGCACTTCATACCATAAATATAGTGTCATCATAATATCAGTGAGTGCAGTCTGAATATCTCACAACACTCGGACTGCATAAACTCACACACAGGTCTATGTCCAGCAGCACATCTTCATGTTCTGCTGCAGATGAAATACCTGGTCCATTCAACGATGGCCTTGATGCACACACCTGGTTTAGATGATGGTGGTGAAAGAAGAGAAAATGAGGAAAATGTTTTTTTGTAACTCACTGCCATTTTAATATGAAACACTAATACACACGGACAGTGTAGGTTTTTTCTAATATCAGCCCTAATTCATACACGATCAACTAGAAATTTGGAGATTGTTCCCAAACAGCCAGAAAGGTTCATGTCTTACCACAAAGAACCAGATTTATTCTATTGTTGTTTTCTTTTATCATTTTTTGTCATCCTGTTAGCATGCTGGTTAGCTTCTGTGTTTACAATATCAGTAACCTTTGTAAGAGATAAAACTCTTTAAAGTTGTCTAAAGGTTATAAACACAAAGACAAACTTTACTTTTCTTGATTGTGTGTTCCTCCATCTATTTAATTTCTACCTATCAAATCTTAAATAACAAAAACAACCGTGCGTAAACCGTTCCTCCTCACTGTTTATTATCGTCGCCTTTTTTCTTTTAATTTTCTGGCGTATTTATTTAGTCTTGTGCGAGGAGGACATAAGCAGGTTGTTCCAGGGCAGAGTCGGCACAGCCGAGGGTTCAGGGACAGCAGATATATTCTCTGACAGCATGAACTCAAATGATACAGAAGGGGGTTTATGTCATACAGGCTGTTTTATTAAAACCAGACTCTTCCTGCTGTTTGTTCAGGTGGCGAGGCTCTGGATGAGTGTGGACTGAGGTACCTGCTCGCCATGCGGCTTCACACCTGCCTGCTCACCTCTCTGCCCCCACTTTACCGCATGCAGCTGCTTCACCAGGGTACGAATATCAATCATACTTCCACTGTGACAAAACATGAATGTTTCTGACTCTGTGTCTGTGTGTTAGCAAAATATCTCATGAGCCACTGAATGAATTTAAAAGAAAATCAGAAAGAAGTCACTGGATGAACATCAACATGATTCAAGATGGCTGCCACAGCTAATCCACATCAACTTTCCCTAAAGTAGCTATAACTCAACCAGATTTATAGATATTGAGCTAAAATCTGGAGTGGTAGTAGCTGAGGGTTATTTCCAACACATCCTCTGAGCATGTTTTATATCGTACATAATATTATTTTTATTTTATTCTCATAGAATGTTTAATACTTTACATGTTGATTAAAAACAAACAGGAAAATATATCTATAAAAATACTAAATTAAAAGACATGAAACTAATAAATATAATGAAATATAAAATCAAATCATTTGAAATAAGGAAACACAACGACATGAAGACCTGATGGGACTCAGCAGTCATGTTTTCTACAGCTGTTATAGACAAAAACATCTGTAGAAAACGACTGAGAAATCATCAAAATCCCTCTGGTAATTCATAAAATATTTTGCTAACACTACAACAAAAAGACACGGGAAGAAACATCCTTCCTTTCCACGTTCAGAGGCAGGTGATTTAAATGGTTTTCACCTAATGACTCATTTATTTATTTGTATTTAAGAGAATATGACAAGAAGTTTGGTCTATAGGAAAATTAAAGATTTATTTTTATTGTTTTATTGTCTAGCCCTCAGCTGCTGTAACATAATTAAAATACTATTTATTTCCACTAAGACCTTTACTTAGTTTGATTATTTTGGAGGTTAAACCTTGGACTTCCTGTTTGTTGTCTGTGCTGCAGGCCTTTCCACGTGCCATTTTGCGTGGGCCTTCCATTCGGAGGCGGAGGAGGAGCTGCTGAACATGATTCCTGCCATGCAGAGAGGCGACGCGCAGTGGTCCGACCTCAGAGCCGTCGGCGTGGGCTGGTGGATCCGCAACATCAACACTCTGCGCAAAATGGTGGACAAGGTATCGGAGAAGTGTGGAAGAGCAGCAGCATCTGTTTCACAGCTGTCAGATTCTGAGTGTTTGCTGCAGAATTTCATTATTTTAGGCTTCTTCCCTACGTACAGCCGTGGAAAAATAAAGTCCCCTTCAGTTCTGGCCCAGGACATCTTCAACCTGATCTGGTCTTTATCGGGTTCTAGCATGATGTTATTAAAATGGAACAGAACTGCCGAGTTGTTATTTATGAAACAGTAACAAGACCGTTCAGGAGATGGGTGCTGTGACTATTTTGTTTTTGGCAATAATTTCCTCAGAAAAATAAAGATATTTTTCATTTCTCCAGAAACTTTTTTCTTTTTTAAATCTGCCTCGGCTACTGTCCCAGGTTTAGTCCTCTTATGCTACTTTTAGATTTCAGCTTATATTTTTCTACTTTTAATTATGAAGTGCATAATTTTTAACTTTTAGCTGCCTGTAGTTGTTTTCTCCTTTTAGCTTCTAGGTAGCCTTTTGTTACTTTTAGCGTGTAGCTAGCCTTTTGATATTTTTGCAACTTATGGCGTTTATCTAACATTTTGCAAATTTGAGCATTTAGCTAAACTATTTTTAAAATTCATCTAGCTTTTTCTACTTATTTCTACTTTTAGCATTCAGCTAACCTTTTGCTCCATTCAGCCTTTAGCTAACCATTTGCTACTTTTAGCATTTATCTATCCTTTTTTAATTTATTTATCTAGCCATTTGAAAAATGCAACTCTTAGCAATTAGCTTACATTTTGCTACTAACCTTATCTTTAGCTACTTTCAGTGGTCCTTTGGCTCGCAGCATAATAATCTCTGTTTTTCTTGAGATTTTTTTGTCATTGAAAATTATTTAAATGTTTTTGTAATTCAGAGAAATTCATTCTGTTTTTTGTTCTGTACTGAATTAGTTGAGTGTTTGCTGTAAACTCCAGCTGATATCTGCTGCTTCAGTTGTGTTTGTAGTGTTTTTTATTAACTGCAGTGTTTATTTTTTGTTTTTAATCAGTTGGGTAAAGCTGCTTTCCAGAGGAACAATGACCCTTTAGATGCTGCTCTCTTCTACTTGGCCACAAAGAAGAAAGCCGTCCTGTGGGGACTCTTCAGGTTGTCTTTAAATATGTTATTATTGTGAACTGGTACTGTTTGTTTCCAGTGAATTTATTTCTGAACCCCTTTGAGGCATGAAGGAGTCTGTTTTTTATCTTTCAGGTCTCAGCATGATGAGAAGATGACTCAGTTCTTTAAAAACAACTTCAGTGAGGACCGCTGGAGAAAGGCGGCTCTGAAAAATGCCTTCTCTCTGCTGGGAAAGCAGCGCTTCGAACAGGCCGCTGCCTTTTTCCTGTTGGCTGGTTCCCTTAAAGACGCCATAGAGGTGTGTACATCTCACACACACACACTCACACAGCTTATTACTTTTGAGTTTTCTCCTCTTTGCTGTGTTGACCACAGAATGAAGAAAATGTAACTTCCTGAGTTATAGTTTTAATATCTGCTGCTGAGAGAAGCTCTGCAGCCTTTGAAAATCCTGTAACAATCTTAATTTATTCTGATAAAATTCATAACCAGCTGTCAAATTTTTCCTTGGCCTGAGGTTTTCACCCTCACAGTCAAAATATTCAGACAGATAAGAAACAGAAGTTTGAGCTTCTTTTGTTTAAACTTTGTGTACTGGTTGTGGACCAGCCGAGGACTACACAGAAACATGTCTAATTCAGTCCCATCTAAACAAATCAAATCTTATTCTATTCAAAACAGTCAAGATCCAGTTTAAATCAGTTTACCTGCAGAATAATCCAATTTAATTTAAAATCAACTAAGACAGTCCAGTTAAATCCAGTTATTATCCACTTTATTGCAGTAGAATCTGATTCTCTGGGTGTTTGTAAACTTAAAATAAAAGAAGAAGAAGGTGTGATGTCCCTCACAGCACGCCGTGTTTACAAAAAGAAATATGGAGGCTGCACACGTTATCATCGATTCTGAAGTTGGTGTGCGATCAAAACCGATTGAAATATTACTCAACTGGATTGTTTTGTTCAGTGTTTACATTTGGTCGTGCTGCTCCCTGCCAACTCAGGGGAAGAACTGCATTTCTGGAATGAGAACAAAGTACTGAAGGTAGAAACTAAATCAAATGTTGATCCATCACGTTGGCCTGGATACAATCCGACACAAACTCTGGTCTCATATGTTGCTGTAGATTCAGTCATCCAGGACGTGATGAATTAAAAAAGGATGAAACAACAGGACTTCTGTTCTGTAGCTGAGGACGTGTGGAGTTCTGAGCTTTAAACTGCATGACGGTCGTATCAATATTATCAATATTTGGCTTGATTCACATCCCCCTACCTAATCGAGGTGTTCAGACTGTGAGGAAAACATAGATATGTGTCGCACGTGTGCAAAAGAAAGGGGCCACTTTTTGCCTGCAGTGTGAACCTTTCCTTAGATAGATTTTTTATTTTTTTTGACAAATTGGTGTTTTTATGTATGTGAATGTTTCTGTTCAGTGCCCTGAGATGACTTGTGTTGTGACTTGGTGCTATATAAATAAACTGAACTGATCTGAAAATTGAATTGAATTGAACGCAGCCTAAATGTCATAGTGTAAATCTGTTGTACTGAGCATGCTCAGTTCAGCAGGCTGTAGAGGAAAAAAAAAATCATAAACAAACACACAACAGGAGCTCCTTGTCAGGGATTCAGCGTTTCTGCTCTACAAGGAAATCAAAAGTACTCAAAGTATATCTATATCTATAATAAGTATATATATATATCAGATGTCTCACACCTGCTTCCACCCTCGTTTGCCCCCACTCTGGACCCTTGAGCAAGACTCTTAACCGCCACCATCTGCTCCTCCAGGCTCCCTAGATGGCAGCTCTCTGCTCCACACAGAGGGCTGTGGTAGCTTGGTGGTCTGTTTTTGTAGGAAGGACGACCAACATAAAAACAATTGCCAAGTCTTTGGGCGAGTTAGTTCACTGTGGCGATCCCTGAAGAAGGGAGCAGCCGAAAGAAGAAAAAAAGTATATATCAAATGTCAAATTGTTTGTGTATTTGTACCCAACTGTCTCGGTTCAGACGTGTGGGATGGGTCTTCTCCTCCAGACAATAATATGTGAGACACAGCTGGTCCTCAGTCTCATCTAAAAACAGACAGGTTTAGATGTACCCTGAGGTTGTTTTTTTTTTAATGAGTTTAAAGCAAGTTGAGAAATAAATATTAAAATACGTTTTATCTAACAAAGTTTAAGTCAGGTCCTCTGGATGGATAAAAAAAAAAACAACTTCTTGAAAAGTTTCATCTTTAATCCAAAAGACTTTGTCAGTTTGACTAAGTAATTTGGATGTGATTGAATCTTTTGGAAGGCAATTTCAATTCAGTCTTTTGAATCCGTCCAGAGGAAACTGACTTAACTTTATTAGATTTTTCTACCTGGATTATTGAGCATGCATCAGGATAAAATGCATTTTGGTATTTCCTTCTTTTTCCAGTTCTACCAAACTTGAACCAAAACATGACTTGTACATGCCATGCCATGATGTTTATGTATTATATTTCATAAAGTGTAAAGTGTGGTGCTGGTTTTGGATGTTTAGGTGTTGATGGAGAAAATGGAGGATCTCCAGCTGGCCATGATCGTATCCAGACTGTACGAATCAGACTTTGAGAAGTCGTCCACCTGCCAGGGCCTCCTTTATGAGAAGGTTCTGGGTTGTAACAGGGACGGCAGTGGTTACCACTGCTCGAGACTGCACCCTGACCCGTTCCTCCGCAGCATTGCCTACTGGATCATGAAGGATTACACTCGAGCCCTGGATACCCTGTTGGAGAGGAACCCCAAAGAGGACGAGAATCCTGGTGAGTGCACCAGAGAAACTGAGACGTGTTCAGTTTGACGCCATTTCCTGTAAAAGCTTGTTTTATCTTGTTTTGTAGACGTGATGGTGAAGTCTTGCAACCCCGTGGTGTTTAGTTTCTACAACTACTTGAGAACCCATCCTTTGATTATTCGGCGCCACTTTGCTAATCCAGAGGGTCCAGTAACAAGTGTGGGTCTGACTGCAGAGAAGAGCAGCGCCGATGAGATCAACCTCATCGAGCGCAAACTCTTCTTCACGACTGCCAACGCACACTTCAAGGTCTTTATCCTGTTGTTATGTGATAACTAACTGATACTTAACTTCAGTCCCATGATAAGTGTTCACATTTTTAAACATCTTTTTATTGTTTTTCTGCTTTCTGTAGGTGGGGTGTCCAGTTTTGGCTCTGGAAGTGCTTTCCAAAATTCCCAAAGTCAGTAAGAAATCTGGATCATCGCCTCTCAGCAAAGCTTCATCGAAGGCGAACATCAACGCAAACCAGCCGTTAGAAAACGGCACCCGGGGAGGCGGCGACTGGGACGACCCGGCAACAGCTGACCGTGCCTGGGGAGGAAACTACAGCGGGGGGCTTGACTGGAGCCAGCCGGTGGTCCAGGTAGAGGAAGACGAGCTGAATCTAGACTGGGGAGATGATAAAGATGATGATGATGATGAAGATGGAGAAGGCTTGACCATGAAGAAACCGGAGCAGGAAACCAGAGCAGGCTCGAAGAACGGCGTCTCCAAACTGCAGAGACAGGACTCACAGGTACCATCAAACATTCTTCATATGTATCAAAACAAATACCTTGAGGTTTTCATGTATATAATAATAGTAATAATGTTTTAAGATTAAAAACAGACTGAATCCAGAAAAATTTCCAAATCACAGAAAACACATAAAAAAACAACAAAAATCGGAGCTCCAACAGAAAAGATCAGATCGTCTGTGAACTATTTAAAACTTAAAACATGGATATTCCTGCAAAGATTTTAATTATCAAGAGAAATAGAATGATTTTTATTTTTATAAGGGTGATGTGTAAATATTCTGTTTTGAGATTTTATTTGCTCAAATTATATTTCTTTGTGAAACAGAGAAGTAAAGTGAAAAATGGACTTTGTTTAGTTCTCTCAATAACTGGTTGAGTTCCCAGAGTTAATCAAAGCCGTCGGTAAAGTCTACATCTTTGTCGGAGCTCGTTAGTTCAAACTCGAAGTCGGTGTTTCTCTTTTCTGGAGGACCAAAGTACAACGTTGAGTTTTAACTAGAGACCAAAAACAATATGTGTCATGACTTCAGTGGAATAATTACTGAAGATGTTCCTTCAACTTCAGTACTGAGCAGCATCATTTTAAACAAACCACACAAATAAATAAAGGTTGAATGAATGAATGGAAGTACCAATAGTTCATCACTGCCACAAATAAAACAAGTTTTTGTGTTTTTTTACCTTATAATTAATCCATGAAACAATAAATTAGGAATCGTATACAGTGGTCCCTCGTTTATCGCGGGGGATTCGTACCTTGAAGCCCCGCGACAAGTGAAAAACCACAAAATAGGAATAGTACCGTTAGTACAAATAGTAAGTAGTAGTTTATTTTAGTATTTAAATATACAGTAGTCCCTCACTACTTTGCGGTTTGTCTTGCGCAGACTTGCTCTATCGTGGTTTTTCAATGTAAGATTGGACATGACACTCAATGGTTGATTGATGGATGAGCCGCACGATCGACACGAGATTTTTATGTAAAATAAATTATTTTGAATTATTTATCACCTGCTTCAACTCTGTGCAGCCCACACTGCAGGATAAGCTTCCTCCTGCAGCTGATCAGCTGTTCTCTGTGCAGAACGGAGAAATGGGCGTGGCCAAGAATGCTTGCAGGTGGCTGAGAGCAGCAGAGGCACAGAGAGGGAAATCATGACATTCTGTGCTCTTTTAGAGTTTTAGAGTTTAGAAACATTGTTTAGAATATTGCAAGCGTCCTTCCCACACTTTCGCAATATTTTAAACAATGTTTCTAAACGCTCTAAAAGAGCACAGCATGTCATGGTTTCAGCTCCCTGCCTCCAGCTGCATTTTCGGCCACGCCCACTTCTCCGCTCTGCATGGAGATCAGCTGATCAGCTGCAGGAGGAAGCTTCTCCCCCAGCTGTGGGCTGCACAGAGGTGCTAAATCATTTAAAATAATTTATTTTAAATAAAAATTCCATGTCGATCTTGCGGCTCATCCATCAATCGGCCAATTGTGTGTCATGTCCAGTCTTACTTTAAAAAACCGCTATAGAGCCAGTCTGCGAAAAACCAACAGTCAAGTAGTGAGGGACTACTGTATATTCTGTAAGTTTGTTTAGGATCAGATTTGAACTTTGAATAAAAATGCATCGTTTATTGTATGTATGCAGAAAGCTGACATTTTCTCTTCTTTCTGTGTTTAGGGTGAGTCAGAAGTGGACGTCATAGCAGAGCAGCTGAAATTTCGTGCCTGTCTGAAGATCCTGATGACCGAGCTTCGGACGCTGGCGACGGGCTTCGAAGTCGACGGAGGGAAGCTGCGGTTTCAGCTCTACAGCTGGTTGGAGAAGGAGATTGCCGCAATGCACACGATCTGTAACTACAAGGTAGATTTTCAGAAATGAGCTTCAGATCGGAGTGTCTTTCTCCGCCTTACATTCACAGACAATTATCACTCCACAGGTGGAGGGAAAGGAGGAGGGATCAGAGGTGGAGCGAGACCGAACAGCTTCTATAGACATTTCAGAGGATGCACTGGAGTGCTCCGAGGCAGGAGCGTACGAGCGTCACCAGATGGAGCGTCGGCGTCTTCAGGCCAAGCAGCAGCATTCAGAGAGGCGTAAGGCCTGGCTGAGGAAGAACCAGGCCCTGCTGAGGGTTTTCCTGTCCTACTGCAGCCTTCACGGAGCCAAGGGAGGGGGGGTGACGTCTGTTCGCATGGAGCTTCTGTTCCTCCTGCAGGAGAGCCAGCAGGTACACGTTAGGGATGGACAGATTCACTGACGTGCACATCATAATCAGATCTGTAGAGCAGCCATGTGTCGCGCAGTTTTTAAATTTAGATGTGTTGCTTTATTTCTTGTTTGCACCAATAAAACTTTATTTATTTATTTGATCAAATGTTTGCAGGAAGTTTTTTTTCGACTGACTTTTCCTCATAAATGCAGAAACATGAAACAAGTGTAGTTTAAGCAGAAGTAAATGAATTCTCTTCCTGTATTTGGCAGGAGACCACGGTGAAGCAGCTGCAGTCTCCTCTTCCTCTGCCCACGACGCTGCCTCTGCTGTCGGCCTGCATCGCCCCCACCAAGACAGTCATAGCCAACCCTGTTCTCCACCTCAGCAACCACATCCATGACATCCTCTACACCATCACAAGCATGGAGACGCCGCCACATCCTGACATCATCGATGATCGGGTCAGTACTCAAAATGAATCCTAACTAAGAGGGCTGAGCGTTTAGGCACTATTTTGTTTGTTTGTTTTCTTCTTCTTAAAGAGAAAGTACTGTTCAAACATTTGTTAGGTACAGAGTGTGCACCCTTTCTTAAGATTTCGGCTCACCTTCGTGACATTTCTGTTTCTTTTTCCTTGTTCAGGTCAACGCCCTGCACACACTGGCAGCCTCTCTGTCTGCTTGTGTCTATCAGGCGCTGTGCGACAGCCACAGCTACAGGTAATTCTGTTTCGGCAGCATCACTGGTCCAGCTGTCTCTGCTGTGGATGAAGGTCAAGTTCAAGTTGTGTTCATTTGTCATATGCAGGTTAACACAGGGTTAACAGTACAATGAAATGTTTAGGATGAGAAGAACCAGATTGACTCGTTTAAAAAAATCAAAGAACAAACCAACAAACAAATACAAAAAAGCATGCAATAAGGGTACACAAAAAGTACCAAAAAGTGAAAAAGTAATTATAATATTTACAATATATGAGAGATATTGTGCAACAACATGGTATAGTATAATGGTGCAGCAGGATGAATTTGAATTAATAAGTATTTTGAGGTAGTAATATAAGCTAAAATGCATATGATGTATATGAGAGCCTTGACATCCTTTTCAGGGACACCACCAAGTCATTGGTTCAGGTATGTTGACGACACCTGGGTTAAAATTAAATCTCAGGAAGTCCAACATTTTACTGACCACATCAACTCTGTGGATAAATACATCAAGTTCACACGAGAAGATGTAAAAAATGGCAGGTTGGCTTTCTTGGACTGTGAGGTCTCAGTTTCTGATAGAGGACATTTGCAAACTGAGGTGTACCACAAACCCACCCACACAGACCAGTATTTGCAGTTTGACTCCCATCACCCTTTGGAGCACAAGTTAGGAGTCATCAGGACTCTGTATCACAGAGCAGACAGCGTCCCCACTAACTCAGGAGCCAGGCAGAAGGAGAAATCCCACACAAGACAGGCTCTAGAGCAATGTGGATATCCTAACTAGACCTTCCTGAAAGCAGATAAAAAACCCAAACAGGACTCCAGCCAGCCATCAGGTGAAAAGGAGGAACTCAGACCAGTGGTCATTCCGTATGTTGAGGGAGTTTCAGAGAAACTGAGACGTTTATTTTCTAAACATAACGTCCCAATAGCTTTTAAACCCCAAAATACATTACGGCAAAGACTGGTTCATCCCAAAGATCCAGTCCCCCGGCACAAACAGAGTAATATTGTGTATGCTGTTCAGTGTCAGGAGGGTGATCAGTCTTACATCGGGGAAACTAAACAGCCACTGGCCAAAAGGATGGACCAGCACAGAAGATCAACATCATCAGGCCAGGATTCTGCGGTCTACACTCATCTCCAGGCCAGCGGTCACTCTTTCAGGGATGAAGATGTTCACATCCTGGATAGAGAGGAACGATGGTTTGAGAGAAGAGTAAAGGAGGCCATCTTTGTGAAAATAAATCGTCCATCGTTAAACAGGGGTGGAGGCCTCCGGGTTCAACTGTCCCCCTCTTACAATGCTGTGATTGCTAGTATCACTCAGCCCTCTGTGAATAGCAAACAGCCATCAGAGTGCTAATGATCCATCGTTAGGCCGATGGTCCGCCTTGACCATGTGAGCAGCTGGTTTTGGTTGTCAGCAGCAAACTGGTTGATCCACTCTGAGAAGGTGCTATTTATAAGACTGAGCTGAATACAGCACCTCAGACTGAGGAAGTATTTTGGATGAAAGACAAAACGTTTCTACAATTTTTTTGTTTTGTTTTTTTTGAAAGTCCAGAGGAACAGATTTAACTTTTTTAGATTTTCTACCTGGGTTATTGAGCATGCATCAGGATATATATATATATATTGCACATAATCAACATATGCCACACGGGTTGTGTGACATATTATTGTACAGGTAGTGACATTGAGGTTGAATTATTAGTTAGTTATTGTCAATTTGTTCAGTGTTATTTATCGAGAGTTCAGTAATCTGACAGCTTGTAGATAATAACTGTCCTTCAGTCTTTTTGTACACGATGGCAGACTCCTGTATCGTCTGCCTGAGGGTAGTAGACGGAAGAGAACTTGTGCTGGGTGGGTGTGATCCTTAATGATGCTGCGTGCTTTGCGCAGACATCGGCTGTGGTAGATGTCCTGGATGGTGTGGAGAAATTGGATGCGTCACTTTATTTCTTGTTTGCACCAATAAAACCTGATTTATTGATTGATTTTTTTTTATTTTTTTTTTTTATAAAATGTTTGCATGAAGTTTTTTTCTACTGACTTTTCCTCATAATGCAGAAACATGAAACAAGGGTAGTTTAAGCAGAAGTAAATGAACTCACTGCTTTGGTCTTTTCTGGTTTCCAGCAGTCAGACAGAGGCCAACCAGTTTACAGGGATGGTGTACCAGGGCCTGCTTCTCAGTGAGAGGAAGCGGCTGAGGACGGAAAGTATCGAGGAACACGTAACTCCCAACTCTGCTCCTGCTCAGTGGCCAGGTAACCAAACTCTGGCTTTTTCTAAACATTCAGTGGATTGGACGGACTTAGCTACAATAAAACTTGAGAAACTACATTTTCTGCAGAATGAGAGCCGAACAGCAGCTGAAATATTTTGCAGATGCTGAAATAGAATTGGTAAAGCTAAAAAGACCAAATATGAGCTAAATGCTAAAAGACATTATCTAAACCCAAAAGAAGCAGAACACTAGAGTACCATTGGACATTTGTTTAGCGTATATCTTAATTTATATCTTAGATCCTGTTTACTGTTTCTTTTACACTTCATATTTTTGCTATTGTTGGATGTAATTGGGACCCTGTGTACATAATTTCGTTCCACCTCATGTACCACATGTGATGAGAATGACAATGAAACTGACTTGAACTTGAAAAAATGCTAAACACTAAACACAAGTCTTAGCACTCATCTCCTGAATGAGCTGAACATTTTGATTTATGAACGTCTAAATGAGCACAGTCTGCAGAATTAGTTAGATTCAAACAAACTATATTGTAAACATATATGGTGTGAATTAACGTCAATGTTCAGATTGCACTGGATTAGGAACATATTTATGGATGAAAAGTAGGTCTGAGAGAGAATGTGGGTATCAGAGGGGGAGCTGTGTTTATGCAGAAAGGCAGATGGTGTTCTACCGTCGGAGCTCCGTGGCCTCTGGGTAGGAAATGAAAACACGAATCACACCATCATGCAACTGCTTCATATATGGGCTCCGCTTTGTGCTGGGAATGTGTAGAAATAACTTTTAATCTGTTACATGAGCTCCATGTTCTCTGTCTGCAGGTGTGTCGTCCCTGATCTCACTGTTGACGTCTGCGCGGGAGGAGGACCAGCCGCGGCTCAGCGTGCTTCTGTTCGAAGCGGTCGTGGCCGTTTATCTCTCGCTGCTCATCCACGGTCTGGGCACGCACAACAGCAACGAGCTCTTCCGCCTGGCAGCGCACCCCCTCAATAACCGCATGTGGGCTGCTGTGTTTGGAGGCGGTGCTAAAGTCGTCATCAAACCCAAAAGACCAGAGCTCCCACCAGGTAAAATCACCTTAATACTTCATCACATGCTCTCCACGTGCGTTTTATTATGTTTTTATATTTGTTTTTGTTTTTTAAACATCCATTCGTTCCATCCCTTTGTGTCTGTCTACATAACTGATAACCATCTAGTCCTTCCACTGAAATACAAACATGCTGGAACCTCAGCGCAGTCTGGGCCAACAAGGTGAGAAGTTCTGCCGCCATCTTGGGAGGTGCTACTTGGCATCCTTAGTTACTGATGGCAGCATAACCATAAATATCTGAGAATAGTCAAAACTCAATCAAGAAACCCATTTTTTGTCAATAATTATTTTATCATTAGAACCTAACTTGAACAAGCGTGGTTTTACTTTCATCTTTTCCAATGGACACTCTGTGAATACCAGGGAGTCGTTTCTAGACCGGTCTGCTCTAATAATGGAGAAAGCTCCAGCAAACTGAAAACGCATCATCAATGTCACTTCTATTGTGGGCGAGAAAGAAAAGCTCATTGATCAACATCTAAATACTCAAGTGCAATATTTCCAGAATTATAAGGAAAATAATTTTTTTTTTTTTTTAGTTTATTAGTCTAAATGAAAATAACTACATACTGTTAGCAGAGCTCTGATTGACTAAGTGAGCATGGGGGGTGGGGGGGTCACCTCATGGTTTGATTCAGAACACTGCGATGCAAATCTAAAATGATATCACTTCATCTATACTAACAATTTAAACGTAATCCTGAATTTCAGACATAAAAATACAAATACTGGTAGTTGGCTTTGCACTACAGAAAAACAAAATAATATTCAAACGAGTTTTTAGGAACTGCATGAACTAAAAAGAGGAGTCAAAATGCTGAGGACTGACATGAGGTTCTGTACTGATGGAGGTTCGTGTTAGAACTGTCTGACCTGTGTTCCTCCATGTTTCTACATCAGAAGAAATCTGCAGTCCGACACTTGAGCGGCTGCAAAGATCTGCACAACTTATTGTTTAAAAGCAACAATTTTAGTGACACTTTATTTCTATAATTGTAAAAAATGACAACTTAAAGAATAGCGAAAAGGATTTTAGGGGAAATATTTGTTCCAAGAAGTCTCAGTCCATCAGCAAGAAAACACAACTGTCACTTTGACGTCACTTAAAGTTGTTTCTTGAAGGCTCCAAATGTCTAATATAGACTCTGATGTTATTTTAAGATCGAACAAGATGTAAAATTTAGGCCAAAAGAACGAAAAACCACAGATGCACCACATTTATAAGAGAATTAACTGACGAGCTAAATGTAAATAGTTTTTATAACGACACAAAATGAAGCTGCACAGTGGGGCAGAAAGTTTCTCCTCACTCATCAACAGGTGGATTTCATTATTTATAATTAGCCGTTAAACACAGACCACGTGCGAAATCAAACAAATACTGTTTTTTTAATCATCCCATTGTAAGTAAAAGCTGCCTGTCAGTTTTATCCTGCGTCCTGCAGAGCTCATCATTGATTAGTGGAACTGCTGATGAAGAGGTTTAAAGATGGAGGACATCAATTTAGAGTTTGACCACAGATTTGTTCTCAAGTGACAAAACTGCCTGGAGCTCCTCGTGTCGGCTCCAAACTGGTTGCATAGATTTCTTGTCAAACTTCCGAGTGACTCCTTGTTTTAAAGCCAAAGCAATCACAAATCAATGCCTTGGTTTTATTTTTGGCCACAAACAGCTGGCTGCCACAGGCGGAGAACAGTGATTGCTCGGTCTGCCCCTCCTTCAACAAATCTGTGTGAATATATTATTAATCGTCAGTTGTTTACTTGAAAGTAGTGGATCAAAACATTTTAGCCTGTTGCCCAGCCATAATCAGAGTAGCACCTACCAAGATGGCGTCCATGACTCTCACCCAGCTGCGCCTCCAATGTGTTTGTGTTGCACTGGTCCTGTCCTGTTGATGCTGCCACTGGTGTGTAGTGTCTTGTGTGAGTGTGCCCTCTGCCCTGTGTCCCAGTGTCAGCTGAGTTTGAGGCAGCCAGGCCTGAAGAGCCTCAGGAGACAGGAAGACCTGAGCAGGGCCGCCTGTCCCCAAACCCCACTCCCACCCCCGCTGAAACCCAGCGCCCCAAACGACCCCCTCCTCCTGTTTCAAGGGGAGCGGGGCCGGGCACTGTGGCACCAGCTCCTGAGGCCCGCTGTGAGTAACTGGGCTGGTGGATTGCAGTGCATGGTACAGGTTTGCGTTGTTGCAGATGCTTGACTCTTTCTTCTGTCGATCTTGTGAAGCTGCTGCTGAATGAGCACCAAAGCTAGCTAGCGCTAACAGAAACATTTGAGCTCAATGTTATGATAAGCCAGCAACCATGTGTGTTTGTGTGAGAGTGTGTGTGCACTTGTATGTGTATTTTGCATTGCATGTTCATGATGAAATGTCCTTTCTGTTCATTTTGTTGTTTTACATAACAGCTGGGCGTAACGAGGAGTGTTCAGTGACCGAGGCTGAGCAGCCCTCTGAGACTAAATCTGAATTTGAGACTAAACCAGGTACTCCTCCAGACGATTTTAGGACCAGTGAACCACTGCCGTACAGCTCAAACTGTGACCTTTTTTTTGAAAACCCGGATGCTGAAAACGTTTGGATGTTTTGTAAACGTACATAAAAACAAAATGCAATGATTTGCAAATCTCAGAAATCCTAATTTTATTCACAGTGGAACCAGTAAATGTATGAAATGTTTAAACCAAGAAATTGAGTCAGTTTGAGGAAAAGCAGATTTTTTTTTTCTGATGCTGGCAACATTTCTGTTTAAAGTTGTTCAGCTCCACATTTTCTCTGAGAAGACTCCCGTCTTTTTACAATGGTTTGTAAAGACCAGGACCTGAGGAGACCAGTTGTTGGAGGTCTTGTCCCATTCTGGTCTGATGGTAGAACTCTAGCTGTCCTTCAGTCCTGGATCTTCTCAGCTGGATGGAGCAGATGTTCTAAAACCTGCAGATGTTTTCCTGCATTGATGGAGTCTTTCCAGATGTGTCAGCTGCTTATACTAGAGGAGTCCACCAGAGAGGCAGGCTTTAGACCTGTGAGCTGATACCAGGCTGGATGGTCCCTCACCTTTTTAGTCCTGAGGACTTGGTGTCCGTGGTTTCCAAACAGAACTTCAGATTTGGACCTGTCTGACCACAGAACAGTTCTGGACTTCACCTCAGTCCATTGAAAATGAGCTCTGGTCCAGAGAAGACTGCAGCGGTTCTGGATGGTGTTCACATCTGGCTTCTTCTTTGCCTGATAGAGCTTTAAGCAGCATCTATGGGTGAACTGTGTGTGAACAGAACCAGACCTGGTTTTACTACAGTGGTTCCTGTAGGTCTTGTCCTTTGAGCTCAGATTTCTACAGATTCTTCTAATCTGTGGATCAGATTATGAAGTGGAGATGATGGAGATTAAAGTCTGTATTCAGGAACTTTATTCGAAATTCATTCAGGAGCTTTATTCTGAAATTGTTCCTCTAGTTTTAGCCAGACTGCTGAACCTGTGCCCATCTTTACTTCTAACAGTCCCTGACTGACCTGCTGATAATTCACCTCATCCGTGACTAAATGTTCCTCCTGGTTCTGATCCGGACCTCTGACTCTTTAGTTACTCCTGAACAACTCTTTCAGACGAATTGCTGACATCGTATTCAATGTTCCCTTATTTTTTTCTAAAAGGTTTAAACATTTTATTAGTTTAATAGTTTCTATTATGAATAAGTGTTTATATAATTTGCGAATCATTATATTTTTTTATGCCCGTTTTACACAACGGCCCAACTTTTTCTACATTACGGCTGTAGAACGAAAAGTTAAAGGTGGTCGTTGATAAGTTGTAGTGAAGTTAAAGTTTTCACATTGATTCAGCTTTTAAAATTTGTGCATTAGTGATATCCAGAGTTGCACTTTCATGATAATGTATTGACAGAACGTGACAGTGTTCATCCATAATCACGAGGCTGGAGTACTCTTGCTCAAGTTTCTTTTGCGTGCGGTGAAGATAGGAGCTGGCATTCAGATAGCACCGTTCTGTCATGTCTGAAGCAGCTCTCGACAAGGCCGAGAGGCTTTTGAAGAGCTGCTTTTGAGCCGGGTCGATCTCAAAACGTCACACCGTTGAAGGGAATCACTTGGTGAAGCTGCACTCTCACTTTCCTGCCACAAACACACGTCTTCTTCTGAGGATACTCAATTACAGCTGATGGACACTTATTTTAAATAAATGCTCCTCTTCATCTGTGCTCGTGTGGTTCTGTGTGCATTTAGCTCCTCTCAGTACATCAGTTATGTTCTGATTGAGTTGCGTGATGGAACGTGTTGTATCTGTGTCTAACTGCTGTCTGTTCTGGTCTGTGTGTTGTTTTGTCTGGTCCAGTGCCAGAGATAGTCACCCAGGATGATGGTGCAGGTTTGTGTCTTGCCCCGTGTGTCCATTCTTCTTGTTTGTGTGTTTGAAGTGTTTATTTTCCTAAACGTGTTTATTGGTGTCAGTAAAGACCCAGAACCTGAGGCAGGTATTTCTCACAGGTGTGGATGCTGTTCTCCTGATTTGTATTTTCTACCTGGTTTTTGAGATGAAAATGAGAACGACTCTCAGCTCGTCCTCATTTTTGTGTGCAGCCTCCGGCTCATTTACCGTTCCAGCGTTTACTATGAACCCTTTGCTCCTGTCCCACCTTCCAGCGACCCCCCCTCAGCCCCCAGCAGAAGACGTGGATCGTTACAGACGTAGGTTCAACATGAGGATGCTGGTTACTAGGCAATCTGTGAAGGAGACCCCCGCCACCCCGCCCCCCGTGCCCACAGAGAGACCCACCTACAAGGAGAAGTTCATTCCCCCGGAGCTCAGCATGTGGGATTATTTTGTAGCTAAAGTAAGAAGACAAATGAACACCTAAAACTCCAGAAAGTCATTGATCGCTCTAACGGCTGATCTTGTTGGGTTTTCCATATTTTTGTTGTTTCCTTCCTCTCAGCCTTTCCTGCCGCTGTCGGACAGCAACGCCTTGTACGATTCAGATGAAAGTGGAGCTGAGGATGATGAAGATGACGACGCCTTCCTCTCTGACACACAGATAACGGAGCATTCTGATCCCAACTCCTACAGGTAGAGTCCATCCTCCATGTCCGACCCGGTTCTGATGTGTGTGTTTTATATATAAACCTTTCCGTCTGTCTCAGCTGGGCTTTGGTCCGACTGGTCATGGTGAAACTGGCTCATCACTACGCCAAGAACTTCATCCCTCTCACTGGTCTTGACTTCACAGGTACGCTCTGACCACTTAATTGATCTGAAGTACTTTGTAAATTTTTTTCTAAATTAAAACTTTCATCCAACCATTATCTTTACCTGCTTCATCCTTTCCGGTCACAGGGATCACTGGTTCCTATGTCCAGGGGCGGGAGACACCCTGGACAAGTCTCCAGTCCATCACAGGGACACATAGAGGCAAACGCGACAAACAACAATTCATTCTCACTCAATCCTAGGGACAATTTAGAGTTACCAATCAGTCTAACATGCATGCTTTTGGTCTGTGGGAGGAAACTCGAGTACCCAGAGAAAACCCACACATGCACGGAGAGAACATGCAAACTCCACCCAGAAAGGCCCCCCAGCTGTGATTTGAACCAGGGTAACATGCTCACTGAGAGGCAGCAGCTCTACCAACTGAGCCACTTGCCACCATAAATTTAAATTATTTATAAAAATATATTTTAGAATCTACAGCCATGGGAAAAACAAAGTCCACTTCCTTCAGTTCAAGGTTTCAGGACAGTGAATCTGATCAGATCTTTATCAGGTTCTAAATTATTCAAATCTAACCTCAAGTGAACGAAAACTGCTGCTGATTAAATGATCATCATCAGGAGGTTCTGCTGCTCTGCAGCATGTTTTAACATGTGTGTTCTAATAAAACCCCAGGATGGAAAGACATCAGCAATGACCTCAGATAAAAATGTTTGCTGCCCATAAATCTGGGATAGGTCAAAGGTAATTTCCAAACTATCTGGAGTCCATTGTTCTACAGAGAGAAAGATTATTTTCACATGGAAAACATTTCAGACAACTGACAATCTTCACACCCTGAAGGTCAGACTGTGCACTGACCCTACAGGCCTCAGTCAGCAGGTCAAAGGTTATGACCTCCTCACTCAAAACAACATGGCTGCACAACTTAGGTTTGGAAAGTTTCATCTGAAAAAACCACAAGACTTCTGGACCAGAACTAGACCATAGGACAGATATTAACCCAGAATGCACTGCAGCAAACAGCTCCTCACAGCTGTCAGCATGGTGGTGGAGGCTGATGGTTTGGGCTCCTGTCAGTCTCTGAGTGGACCAGGAACTCCTCTGCAGACAGAGGGTGGACTGTTTCTTCTCGTGACTGTAATCCTTTATGTTGATTTAGGACAATTTGTTGTAAAAATTGTAAAACTCTTTCTTTGTGTTTCCATCACAGACCTTCCAGTCACTTCTCCTCTCAGCAACGCTGTTTTTAAGACTTTAGAGAACTGGGAGCAGCTTCTGTTGGAGCGGATGAACAAGTTTGACGGTCCACCTCCCAATTACATCAACACCTACCCCACTGACCTGAGCACAGGAGCCGGACCCGCCATCCTGAGACACAAGGCCATGCTGGAACCAGACAACACACCGTTCAAGTGAGTCCATAAATCTGTACAGAATCTTAAATCACTCTGACTTTGTTTGAAGCTTTATTTTAATTTTTGTCTTTTACATTCTTTCCTCCAGGAATAAGAACCATCAGTCCTTTCCAGTTCGACGTCTTTGGCATTTCCTGGTCAAACAGGAAGTTCTTCAGGAAACGCTGATCCGTTACATCTTCACTAAGAAAAGAAAGCAGAGTGAGGTCAGCAGACTGCATCTATAATAAAAACTCCTGATTTAAAAGTCTCAGAATACACAGATACAAAATAAACTGACCTGCGTTTTATCTCAGGCCTCTCACTTCTAAAGTCAAAGGGGAGAAAACATCCATCATATTATCATCTTGGGCACAAATTTTGACCCACTCTTCTTTACATCGTTGGCTTCTGCTCGGCTCTCTGAATGTCCACCACAGCAGTTCAGTCAGGTTGAGGCTCTGGACTCTGACTGGACTGTTGCAGTGCCTTGGTTCTGTTCTTTGACCTTTTATGTTGCAGATCAGCTGCTGTGTTTGGGATCATGATTCTGTTAGACCCAGTTTGGTCCAAGCTTCAGCTGTTGGACAAATGGACCCACATTTGACTCCAGAACCCTTTGGTTTACAGAGGAGTTCCTGGTCCACTCAGTGACTGACAGGATCCCAAGCCATCAGCCCTCCACCACTGTGCTGATAGCTGGGAGGAGCTGTTTGCTGCAGTGCATTCTGGGTAAACATCTGTCCTCTGGTCCAGTGTGGTTCCTTCAGATGAAACTTTCCAAACCTAAGTCGAGCTGCTATGTTGTTTTTAGAGAGAAGAAGTGATGACTTTTGAACTTTGAACTGCTGACTGAGACCTGTAGAGTATGAGATGGTGATCATTGTACAGTCTGACCTTCAGGGTGAATCAGCTGTGAAGACTCTGAGCTGTCTGAAATGTGAATCATCTTTCTCTCTATAGGATGATGGACTCCAGATAATTTGTAATTCACCTCTGACCTTTTTAAGATTTATGGCAGCAGCAGCTGCTTCTTTGGGGTCATTGCTGATGTCTTTCCATCTTGGCAACGTGTTAAAGCTCACCTGTATGCTCCACGTCAGAGGTGGTCCTGCCGATGATCAGTCCATCAGCAGCTCCTGAGCCTCTGAGATCCTGTGGAAGCAGTTTTTCACTCCCAGCTTCAACAGTTCGGCTCTTGTTTCATAAATAACGACTCGGTGGAATCTGTTGTAAGATTTTGTTCATTAGTCAGATCAGAATCATTTTCGGACCTGAGAAAGACATGATCAGTTTTATTATGTCTCAAAACTCCAGAACTGAAGGACAGTGGACTTTGTTTTTCCCATGACTGAATTGAGGTCTTTGATCTGATTTTTTGCTCCAGTAAATAACGGCCCCTCTTAGAAACATTGATGACTTCAGGGCTTTTTGAACCAGAGATCTCCTCGTCCATCGTCCCGTCGTAACACAGAGTTGTTCAGTGAGGGCTTTTCTGTGCTGGGTTTGTATTTGTTGCTGTAATTATCTTTGCTTTGACTCCTCAGACATATTTAATCAAGCGCAAGTCAGATCACTGCCTTCTGTGATGTCTGCAAATATTTATGAATATTACAATACAACCACCCATTAAAACCTGTCTCTTTAGCTGCAGGTTAAAATACAGAGAAAGTGACATGATTGATGTCTCATGGTTAGTTTCTCGTTAATTCAACAGGTTTTGGAAGTAGACACATTTCGTATCGCCATTCTAATCAAGAGGACTTAAAAAACTTTAGAGTTAATCTCAGTCTAAAGTCTAATCTACTGAACAAGAACACAGTAAAGTCCTGTCAGTCCTCTTCATTTCTGTTTCATTTCATGGTTTTATTTTTCTGTTTGTGCATGTGTGTTTGTGTTGTGCCTTGTTGTGCGTCTGTGTTCCCTCTGTGTGTTGTGTAGTCTTTAGAAAACCATGTGGACCGTGTAAACCCAAACTGCATAGCTGGAGCTAGCAGTCCCTATAAGGTACTACCATTTCCTGTACCAGCCCAGGCCCGGGTCCTGTCTCTTCTTTTGTTTCAGAGATTCACTGCAAAGCCAAGCTTGAAGGAGCAAATACAGGAAGTGTTGAAAAACGTAGTCTGCAATTTTGGTTGGCAGGTAATGTTTGAGGGTTGGCACCAAACTGGGTGAAACACTAGTTCCTCCTCTCCAGCTTGGCCACACGGTGACTTCTCTGTTTGTTTGTTTGTTTGTTTATTTGTTGTTCTGGCATCAAATCTCTGGACTCTGAGGCTTAACATTTAATCATTTCCTCTCACCAGGACACTTGTCGACAGACGCTCACATTTACCTCCCGTCCGACCCTTGAGAATAACCCTTTGGGTCTCACTCCTCCCTCCTCTCTAGCTGAAATGATTCTTCCGGGCCCAAAGCGGCAGTAGATGGACTAACTTGCATGCTCAGTGTTGGTGCTGGGAGGCTTTTGTAAAGGTGCAGGGCGCCATCACTGAAAACATCTACAATCAAAACTGTCCATATTTACAGTAACTGTGTGATCATATCACTCTCTTTTCTTTAGTTCTACCTTTTCACCAAGAATCCTTTTAGAAACAACTTGATGCTCCAAAGCAACTGTTTGCCAAAATAATTAAATAATATTGATTACTAATAATCGTCTAAGCAATAATCCTTTCACTTCAAACCCTTGCACTGTCTCTCCTCAGCTTTAAGTCACTGATGTTTTTGTTTGTTGTTCAGGTTGAGGCAGATCTGGGCTACCCTGGAGGAAAGGCTAAGATCATCCACAAGGAGTCTGATATCATTATGGCATTTGCCATCAATAAGGTCAGTTGTAGCTTGTACAGAATTACAAGAACTGAAAAAAATCTTTGTAGTTTTTTATTTTTTATTTTAATATTTTCTGGAAGTTTCCTAAAAATATATTTTTCTATTTTTTTTTATTTAACCTTTATTTAAAAATTTCAAGAGAGCTCTGTTAAGGATGGCATACTGTTAGAAAGATACAAACTAAAGATTACTAGCATCATAATAAATCCGCATAAAACAAGTCAGAATCAACATCAAATGGGTCAAAATCAACATAAAACAGGTCAAATCATGTAAAACAGGTCAGAATCAATTGAAAAATGAGTCAGAATCAATGTAAAACGAGTCAAAATTACATAAAGCATGCCAAATTCAAGGTAAAACAAGTCAGAATCAATGTGAAACAGGTCAGAATCAAATAAAACTGGTCAGAATCAACGTAAAACAAGTGAGAATCCACTCAAATCAAGCTAGAATCAATGTAAAATAATATCTCAGCTACAGCCACAAATCTCAAATGAGTTGAAAAGGATGTTCTGTGGATGCATTCTCATCTACCTGCCAAAGTCCACATCAAACATGTCAGAGTCAATATGAAACAGGTCAGAATCAACTTGAAACAGGTCAGAGTCCACATTAGACTGGTCAGAACAAACATGAAACATGTCAGAGTCCACATTAGACTGGTCAGAACAAACGTGAAACATGTCAGAATCAACAGAAAACAGGTCAGAGTCCACATCACAAACGTCAGAATTAACGTGAAACATGTCAGAATCAATGAAAAACAGGTCAGTCCACATCAGACAGGTCAGAATCCACAGAAAACAGGTCAGAGTCCACATCAGTTGAGTCATAATCAACAGAAAGCTGAGCAGCGTCCACATCAGATGAGTAATAGTCAACATGAAACGGGTCAGAATCGATGGAAATTAGGTCCGATTTCACATCAGACAGGTCCGAATCAACAGATAACAGGTCAGAGTCCACATCAAATGTCAGAATCCACTTAAATGAGTCATATTAAACATAAAACAATCTTTCTGAGCTCGTCAAACAGCTCTTTGGTTTCTCAGCTCCATGTTTAGTGGGGTAAACAGAACCAAACCAGTTGACCCAGTGGATGGTTGTTTTCTTTAAACAGGCTGAAGGTCTGATGGAAAGCTTGAAGTCTCCTGAGATATTGATGAAGGTCAAACAGTTTGAAACGTGACTAAAATTTAAAGATTATTCACCTTTAATCATCCCTTCACTTTGCAAAGTAAATTGAGCTTTAATTCTATGGGCTGGAAGAGGGCCAAATGATTTATCTTCGTCTGTAACTAAATGTTTTATTTTGGAAGAGTTTGAGAACATATCCTCACAGCCACTTTCCTAATCCTTCGCAGGCGAACTCCAACGAGATCGTGTTGGCCTCCACCCATGACGTCCAGGAGGTGGATGTCTCCACGTTAGTGGCTGTCCAGCCCTACACTTGGATAGAAGACTTTGATAAGGAGTCTCGAAGGTCTGAGTCTCACCAAGTTTGTTTCTTTTCTGTGTCTTTGACCAAGCAGATGAAACTTTAGATGTTTTTATTTTCCAGCTCGGACGACATCGACCCTCGTTCCTCTCAAACCAACATCGCCCAGGCCAGCTCCGTTTCCTTTGCTCCGCCTCAGATGGCGGTCTCTGCGTCCATGCCGTGGCTCGGGAGCGGTCAGACCAGCATGGGGGCCAGCGTGGTACAAAACCATTCTCAATTATTTTTTTATTTTTTTTAAGACTGTGTTGCTGTAATTCCAATTTGTCCAGGACATCCTTGTAAAAGAGATTAATAATCTCAATGGTATTCCTGGTAAAATAAAAGTTTAAAAATATATGTAAATAAATAAATAAATTTATATATATATATATATATATATATATATATATATATATATATATATACACATACATATAAATATTATAGCCTAAAATCAGCCACTTTCATAACAAAGCCAGGATCTACCAGGTTCAACAGGCTTCAGTCACAACTAGTAGCTGAAAACGAAGCTGTTTTGCTCCAAAACAGAACCAGCATAATGACTCTGCAGTTTTGTTTTGTTGTTGTTGTTGTTGTTTTTTTGGCGGGCGGGGAAGGGGGGGTTGTCACAAGGAGAAGTGGGCAATCATGTAATTGTTTCTGTTTTGTCTGTTAGCAAAATAACTCATAAACCACTGGAAGCATTGTAATGAAACTCAAAGCTATCTTTGGGTCTTCATCTACAATGGGTGAACATTTGGAAGCAAACTGATTCAAGATGGCTGCCACAGCTAAGCAGAATTATACAACTACAATGGCTGTAACTCATTCAGTTTTACAGATAGTCAGCTAAAATTAGGTGTGATAGTAGCTGAGAGTCATCTCCAACACTCTTGAGTGTTAAAAACCTTGGTGCGTAAGGCAGTGGGTGATATGCATTCCTTATTTTATTCAAGTTCAAGTAGGTTTTATTGTCATTCACATCACATGTTGTACATGAGGTGGAACAAAATTGTGTACACAGGGTCCCAGTTACTCCCAACAACAACAATTTTTGCCCATAATGTTACGACGTGTGTTAATCATGTAAGTGCTGTCGGCGTTCAAGCTGTTTTCCTGTTTATAGTTTAGTTTTGACTTCTTCAGAATTCTGTCAGAACTTTGACCCGTTCAGGTACTGTATTTAAACTTTCAGCTCATTTTGATGATGGAGACTGTGACTTTTGGTTTTAGTAACTTTTATACGTTTAAAAATATTTTAGGATGGGGATTTATTATTAGCTCATTTTAGCTTTGAAGTTTTTTTTTGTTGTGTGTGTGCTAATTTTAGCTTCTGTTTTGTTTGTTTTAGCTTTAGCTGTTCAGTTTCAACTATTTTCAGCAAATCACAAGTTTTTCAGTTCATTTTCTCTGAAACTTTTGGGTTTCCTGACACCGAATGTAAACACGATTCAGAGTGAAAGACGACGCAGACAGTTGCTGTTTTTGGTTCTTATCAAAGCCAGCTGTCCTGCTGAGTCTGAAGCTGTGATACGGTGGGAGGTGGGGGGCGGGGGAGGATGCAGCCGGCAACCCAAGGTACAGATTTGCGTCACAGCGACAGTCAGCCAGGGTTCTCCGTGTCCCCGCCATGTTGATAATGATCTGTGTGATCCAGTGGAGACGGGACAGAGGGTTTCCTCACCTTCGGCTGGTTCTGTTACATTTAGTGTCGGGTTTCACAGCTGAGTGTCTTTTTGTTTTTTTACAGTGGAACATTTAAAGCTCTTTGTTTATTGGTGATAAAACCGTTACCAGAGATGTCCGCTTGTTCTTTACAGCCACATCTTATAAAGCAGCTAAAGATCTCTCAGCTGCACTTTGTCAAGGAATGCATATCGCCCGCTGCCTTGCATGCCCAAGTTTTAAACCAAAAATGTTGCCTCGTCTGTTAGCGCTCAAAGTTTGTGTTGGATGACTCACAGCTACTACCACACCAAATGTTCACTTTATTTCTGTAATGCTGGCTGATTTGGATATTTTGCTAACAGACTGGAAATCACCACACAGAGTGAAAGTAATGAGTGAACAGAACGAAGAAGAACTTTAATGTTTTTTTGGTTTTTTTCAGATTATGAAGAGAAATTTAAACAACGTGAAGAGGATGACGTCTCATCCTATATATCAGTATTGTAAGTTATTCCTTAGAACAAAACTCTGAAACGTTTTATTTCACTGAACGCTTCACTCGCTTTTTATTTCATTATATGGATTTCTGTGATTTTCGTTGTTTCTGTTTATTTGCGTGCGTGTGTGTGTCAGACATGACGGGCGCTCAGGACGGCAGTGTCAGGATGTTTGAGTGGAACAGACCTCAGCAACTCATTTGCTTCAGACAAGCGGGCAACGCTCGAGTCACCCGGCTCTATTTTAACTCCCAAGGCAATAAGGTACACACACATACACAAACATCCACACACACACACAACGGGCTCCATGGTTGGGTCTACTTGTTCTGATTATTTGAGATGATCTTACTGACTTCCTCTTATTGCTGGCAGAGCTGGCAGTGTCATTCTAAGGCCTGCAGCGACTTCACCTTCATCACGTCCTCCAGCCTGATCGCCACAGCCGGACAGTCCAACGACAACAGGTCCGGTTCTGCTCCGAGGATTGTTTCGACCCAACCATCGCTGTTCCTTTTACTTCTCAACTCTTTCTGTTCTGTTTGTCTCCAGAAACGTGTGCCTGTGGGATACCCTGATTTCTCCCAGCAACACCATGGTCCACGGTAAGAGAAGCTGTAATCCTCTGTACCGGCGAGCTCCTTTGGTTTGTGGCATTCACACCTCCTTTTCCCCCCTCTCCTTTTCAGCGTTCCCCTGCCACGAGAACGGAGCCACAGTGCTTCAGTATGCTCAGAAGCAGCAGCTGCTGATCTCTGGAGGCAGGAAGGGCTTTGTGTGTGTGTTTGACATCCGCCAGAGGCAGCTGCTGCACACCTTCCAGGCCCATGACTCTGCCATCAAGGCCCTGGCTCTGGACCCCTACGAGGACTTTTTTGTCACTGGCTCTGCAGAGGGCAACATGAAGGTAAGAATCTACAGTGGACAGGCTTAAAACCACTCTGTTTCCATGGTTCTGAAGGCCTACCAGGCCCGGGTCATTTCCTGTTTACTTTTTTCATCCATCCATCCATCCATCCATCCATTATCTTCCGCTTGATCCAAAGTCGGGTCGCAGGGGCAACAGCTTGAGCAGGGAGACCCAGACATCTCTTTCCACAGCCACCTCTTCCAGCACTTCAGGGAGGATTCCAAAGCATTCCCAGGCCAACCGAGAGACATAATCTCTTCGGTGTGTCCTGGTTCTTCCCTCGGGTCTCCTCCCAGTCAGACATGCTTGAAGCACCTCCCAAGAGAGGCGCCCAGGGTCCATCCTTACCAGATGCCCAAACCACCTCAACTGGCTCCTTTCGATGTGGAGGAGCAGTGGTTCTACTCCAAGTCTCTCCCAGATGATGGAACTCCTTACCCTATCTCTAAGGGAGAGTCCAGCTGTCCTGCGGAGGAAACTCATTTTAACCGCCTGGATCCGTGATCTCATTCTTTTAGTCACTAACCACAGCTCATGACCATAGGTGAGGGTGGGAAAGTAGACTGACTGGTAAACAGAGTTTTGCTTTGCAGCTCAGTTCCCTCTTCACCACAACGGATCAGTACAGAGTCTGCAATACTGCAGATGCTGCACCAATCTGTCTGCCAATCTCATGCTCCATTCTTCCCTCACTCATGAACAAAACTCTGAGATACTTGAACTCCTCCACTTGAGGCAGAACCTCACCGTAGACCTGAAGAGAGCAATCCACCCTTTTACGACCGAGGACTATGGCCTCAGATTTGGAGGTGCTGATTCTCATCCCATTCGCTTCACACTCGGCTGTGAACCACTCCAGTGAGAGCTGAAGATCACGGCACAATGATGCCAACAGGACCACATCATCTGCAAAGAGCAGAGATTGAATCATGAGGCCACTGAATCGGAATCCCTCCGCCCTCCTGGCTGCACCGAGAAATTCTGTCCATAAAAGTTATGAACGGAATCGGTGACAAGGGGCAGCCCTCGGTGACAAGGGGCAGCCCTGGTGGAGTCCAACTCCCACCCTGAAAGGGTCCGACATACTACTGGCAATGCGAACCAAACTCTCGCACCACTTGTATACGGACCTAACAACCCGTAACAACGAGCCCCCAATCCCATACTCACGGCGCACCCCCCTCTGTGTACCTCCAGGAACAGGGTCAAATGCCTTCTCCAAGTCCACAAAACACATATAGACTGGATGGGCAAACTCCCATGACCTCTCAAGGACCCTAGTCAGGGTAAAGAGCCACGGTCAGGACGGAACCCACATTATTCTTCCTGGATCTGAGGTTCGACCAACAATCTGACTCACTTCTCCAGTACCCCTTAATAGACCTTACCAGGAAGGCTAAGGAGAGTTATGTCCCTACAATTTGAACATACCATCCAGTCCCCTTTATGAAGTGGGGAACCACCACTCCAGTCTGCCAATCCAGTGGTACTGCCTCTAATGTCCATGCAATGATGCAAAGGCATGTCAACCAAGACAGCCCCACAACATCCAGATCCTTAAGGAAATCAGGGTGAATCTCATCCACTCCCGGAGCCCTGCTGCCTCAAAGATTTTAACTACCTCGGTGACCACAGCCACGGCTATGGGTAGACCAACCCCAAAGTCCCCTGACTCAACTTCCTCCATGGAAGATGTGCAGGTGGGATTGAGAAGGTCTGAGAAGTATTCCTTCCACCTCTTGACAACATCACTGGTTGAGGTCAACAGCAGCCCACCTTCACTGAACACAGTGTTAGTAAAGAGCTGCTTTCCCCTCTTCAACTGCCTGATGGTTTGTCAGAATATCCTCGGAGCCGACTGAGAGTCTTTATCCAAGTCCTCACCGAACTCCTCCCACATTTGAGCTTTTGCCTCAGCAATAGCCAAGGCTGCAAACCGCTTGGCCCTCCGGCACTCCTCAGTTGCCTCTGGAGTCCCACCGGCCAACAAGGCCCAATAGGACTCCTTCTTCAGCTTGACCAGCCTCCCTAATCTAGGATGTCCACCACTGAGTTCGTGGATGGCCACCGCGAGAAGCACCAAAAGCCTTGTGGCCACAGCTCAAGGCAGCTGCTTCAACAAGCGAGGTGTGGAGCATGGCCCATTCAGACTCAATATCTTTCACCTCAGCTGGAATGTGGTTAAAGTTCTCTCAGAGGTGCGAGTTGAAGATCTTTCTGATGGGTTGTTCTGCCAAGCGTTCCCAGCAAACCCTTAATACAGATTTGGGTCTACCGGGTCTGTCCGGCATCTTCCCCCGCCATTTGATCCAACTCACTACCAGGTGTTGATCAGTTGACAGCTCAGCTCCTCTCTTCACCCGAGTGTCCAAAACAAACAGCTGCAAATCAGATGACATGACCACAAAGTCAATCATCGATCTACGACCTAGGGCGTCCTGCTGCCAAGTGCACTTATGGACACCCTTATGTTCGAACATGGTATTTGTGATGGACAAACTATGACTAGCACAGAAGTCCAACAACAGATCATTGCTCAAGTTCAGATCAAAGACACCTTTCCTCCCAATCACGGCCCTCCAGGTCACATTGTCATTACCTACGTGTGCATTTAAGTCAGAATAAAGGAGTCACCAGCTGGAACACCTTCCAGCACCCTCGCTAAGGACTCCAAGAAGGCCGGATACTCCAAACTGCCATTTGGCGCATAGGCACAAACAAAAAAGTCAGAGCCAGTCCCCCCACCTGAAGGCGCAGGGAAGCCACCCTCTCATCTACGGGGGAAAACTTCAACACACAGGCATCAAGTTGGGGGGAGCTAAGAGTAGATCCACACCAGCTCGGCGCCTCTCACCATGGGCAACTCCAGAGTGGAATAATGTCCAGCTCCTCTCAAGGAGATTGGTTCCAGAGTTTATATATAATGACATGGCCCCTCAAACCATCATTGACTGTGGAAACTTGACACTGGACCTCAAGCAACGTGGATTCTGTGCCTCTCCTCTCTTCCTCCGGAATCTGGGACCTTGATTTCCAAAGGAAACACAAAATTTACTTTCATCAGAGAACAGAACTTTGGACAAGTCATCTGCTGGTGTTGGTCCACTCTGTTTTCTGAGGTCCAAAGTCAACGCAGTCGTCTACCTTTCACTTCATGCTTCCTGCTGCTGATCAACTGTATGGAGATTCAGATTTAATTTTCCTACAGGACTTTGCACCTGCACACAATGCCAAATCTACCAGTACCTGTTTTAAGGACCATTGTATCCCTGTTCTTAATTGGCCAGCAAACTCGCCTGACCTTAAACCCATAGAAATTTTATGGGGTATTGTGAAGAGGAACATGCGATACACCAGACCCAACAATTCAGAATAGCTGAAGGTCACTATCAGAGCAACCTGTGCTCTCATAACACCTGAGCTGTGCCACAGACTGATCGACTCCATGCCACGCCGCATTGCTGCAGTAATCCAGGCAAAAGGAGCCCAACTAAGTATTGAGTGCTGTACATGCTCATCCTTTTCATGTTCATACTTTTTATTTGGCCAACATTTCTAAAAATCCTTTTTTTTAATTGGTCTTAAATAATATTCTAATTTTCTGAGATATTGAAGTTATTGAGGTTTTCATTAGTTGTCAGTTATAATTACCAACATTAAAACAAACAGTTGAAATATATCAGTCTGTGTGTAATGACTGAATATAATATACAAGTTTCACTTTTTGAATGGAATTACTGAAATAAATCAACTTTTTCATGATATTCTAATTTTATGACCTGCACCTGTAGTAAATGATGATTAATTTATGGGGGCCAAGGCCACCATCCACTCCACCCCCCACCCCCAGCTCCTTTACCGCACCTGGTGGTGGATAAATGTCTCCCTCCTCTCTCCAGGGTCTATCACTCTGCTCTGCCTTGGACCAGAAAAATAAAAATAACTCCCTCTGATCTTCTCCACAGTGTAACTCCCCCACACTTGAATATCTTTCACCAAAAATATTTATGTTTCCTTTGTGCTCTGTTTAGTTCCAGTCCAGAAAACCGCTCATCTTTTAAAACTACAAACATTGTTCAGACCCCTCAGTGACGGGGTGTCCTTCTGGTTTATAATAAATATGATGGAGTTGGAAAATGAACACAAACTGTTCTTTGCTCTGCAGGTCTGGAAGCTCGCGGGCCACGGCCTCATGCACTCGTTCAGCAACGAACACGCCAAGCAGTCCATCTTCCGTAACATCGGTTCCGGCGTGATGAAGGTGGAGACTCTTCCCGGGAACCGGATCTTCACCTGCGGAGCAGACGGCACCCTGAAGATGAGGGTCCTGCCGGACCGCTACAATATTCCCAGCAGCTTAATCAACATCCTGTAAATCCTGCTTCCTCGTCCGAGGGTCCAAAGACACGAGAAGGAAATAAAAACACTCAGAACGCTTCCTGGACGTTTGTAACCAACAGGAACAGAGTTCGTGCTTTTCCTGCTGCTGTAAATTATGTCCAGAATAACGAACAGAGTTGCAAATGTTTAATTTTATTTTTGTTGTTGTTGTTCCCAAAGGCTAAAGTTACGAGCAAAAGGTATCACACTTGATTTTAAAGCTAGAGTTGTTGTAATTTTATCGAAGAACTCTATTATCCATAGAGCGTTTCCATAGGGAAGCTATGCATGTCCTGTTCTCGTCCCGCGGTGCAATCACAGGTCTGTTGGTAGTGCTCTGTAAAAGTGCTCAAGCTGAAAAACAAAACAAACAAAAAAAAAAACAAATAAAGTGTAACTGTCGTCATTTTGTGCCCACAGCTGAACCTTTTAGCCTCCTCTGTAAGCAGCGCTGTGGTTCGTTCTGAAGTCAGTGGTTCGTGAATCGACTTGTTGGGATCTGCAGTCTTAATTTTTAGTGGTCCCCCCCCGACCCGTATGACCCCAACCCCGCCGCCTGCCTGTCAGCCTGTTTGTGTGGCGAACATGATGTGTTTCCTCCTCGTGAACGTGATCTCAATGTTTCACCTGTCCTATTCCACCCCGCCCCCCCTCCACAGCAGAAAGAGTCACTTCTAGTTTTTGCACAAGAAAAAATCTGATTTGTTTGTACTTTTCTTTTTTTTTTAAATGAAGTTGATTTTAATATTTAAGGTATTTATATGTTTTCCATTCCTGTGTGAAGCTATGTAACTTATTGCCTTTTTATTTTAGGAATGTAAAAGGTTTAGTGGCTCTGCCGGGGAGACGTGCAACAGTCGGCTGTATGTAAGTGTTCACCTCGCTCTCTCTGACTCTTCATCCATGAAGGAAATTAAGATTTGCACTCAGATTCTGCAGACACTAAAGGTTTATTTCAAATAAATGGCTTATACAAGAAGAAAGTGTCGTTTACACATGAATGTCTGGCTTCATTTGGCCGAGTAGTAAAGCGTTTGAAATAGTTTTACTATATAAATGATATAAATATATATATATATATAAGAACTACAACAACAGCTTGTACAAACATAAAAACATTTCTTTATTTTTGGTTTGTATCATACCTGTTGGATTAGTTGTAACTTTTGTTAAGTGTATGTTTGGTATTTATTATTAAAGAGATTTGTGTTTCTCCCTCTTCCTGCCCACTGCGTGTGTGTGTGTGTGTTGTGTGTGTGTGTGTGTGTGTGTCTGTGCATGTGTGCACATGCACAACAGATAATGAAAAAGAAAAGTTGAAGGTCAGTTTTATCTCAAACGTGAAAAAAGATTTTAATTTCATGAGGATTTGATTTTGTTTGACTTTACATGTTTAGGAGGCGTAATCAGTCAGGGCTCATGCAGCTTCATCACAAAATCTGACAAACTGTAGAAACACGAAGGAAAACATTTACATCCTCATAATAATAATAATATTACCTAGTACCATGCACAGACAGACAAAAGTTAGATTTCTTTGGTAACATTAAGACTTGTCTTATAATACTAAAGAAAACTCGGGTGCATTTTGTAACGTTTGAGGTTAAAAGTTCGTTGTTGTATTAAAGATGTGCAGCCGTCTCTCTGTTGTTTTACGCTACTTTAAATCAAACGTGGGCATCCTTCATTTATCGTTCTGTGGAAACGCTCGGCTCGCTCAGGAACGGAGCGCTGCGACTTTTTGTTGGCGATTCTTCAAACAGAGTAGAAAAAGTCTGAAAAATAACGAGGATCACGATGATTTTGGTGAAACAAAGGACAAAACTTGGTCCTGTTCGGACCTCCAGCTCAGACTTCACATCAGAACCATCATCAGAGTTTAAACGGGTCACAGGAAGTTGGACTGAACTGCTGTTTTCACATCTGTAACACTTTTTACACGATGACAGCTGAACACGGAGGAGCTTACAGGTTTTATTTCTGCAGAATGTTCAGGTTCGAGTCTGATGTCACAAATTTCTGTTTCAAACTCTTTCTACTCTCAACTCCTTTTGGGTTTTTACACATCAGTGTTTTTATCCTCTTTCACCCCGTGTTTGCTGTAGGACGGATGATTTCCTCCTAAACTCCTGCAGGGTACAGAAGGAGCAGCTAAACATCCACAGATTATATTTTAGCTCTAAATATTCACGTTACAACTTAAAGTGAAAGCTGTTTTTTATTGTCATATTGTATAAATACATTTCTGAAGAAAACTTTTCTTTTACCTTTTTGACCATTAAAGCCCTCAGTGTTTAGAAGTTTTAAGATCTGATGGTTTTCACACAGCAACTGCTTGTTTGAGGCTTATTTTTCAGTCTGCCTCATTAACTTCAGGGAGCGACAGACACCGGTGTGTGGTTACCACGGTAACGTAAAGAACAGCTGGCAGCAGCTTTAATGTTTCTACGGTTTTATAAGAACAAGTTGGTTTTGGATCGTAGCTGCATCAACTGTTCTGCAGAAATGACCCCTGAAAGGTAAAACACCTGTGATTTCTTCTTATAAGTTTTTGTTTTGTTAAGTGACACTGGGCTCATACAAGCTGCGTATGAATGAACAGTTTTCTTGATATAATTTAATTTAAATAAAGCTGCTGTATGGGGTGCTATTTGTACAGTTACACAGTCAAAAATGAACAGCAATATTTTGGTTTATTTAGCCTTTAATAAGAAAAAAAGTTATTCGAAGTCTTTATTTTCACCATTATTCATACATTTATAAAGGTCATAGTTCCAAACTAAATGTTTAATTTCCAAGCTAAATATTTAGTTTGGAAATTAAATATTTAATTTACACCTAAATGTTTAGGTTACTGCATCATTTAGGTGTAAATTAAATATTTAATTTTCAAACTAAATATTTAATTTTCAAACTAAATATTTATTTTCAAAACTAAAAATGTAATTTCTAAACTAAATATTTAGCTTGTAAATTAAATATTTAGTTTGGAACTATGACTTTTATAAATGTATGAATAACGGTGAAAATATAACTTTGGAAGAAAAAAACGTTTTTTTTTTCTTATTAAAGGCTAAATAAACCAAAATACTGCTGTTAATTTTTGACTGTGTAACTTTACAAACGGCACCCCAAAGCTATCTTCATCATTTTCAACTGTTTGAGTGGAGGACCTGCAACAAACCGAGTGATCTGTTCAAACAGCGGGATTTCTTCACTCGTCCGAGATGAAGTGGACCACGTGCAACCTGACGTAGCTCTGGTCCCACACATACAGGTGCCTGTCCTTCGGGCTGTAGGAGAGCATGGCCAAAACTCCACCAGGTGACCTCAGGTCAAAGGTCATGTTGATGGGCTTCCCCTTCAGCAGGTCGAAAGCAAAGGTGACTCTGGTGTCCTTGATGTCGGTGACGTACAAAACGCCGCAGGCGATGAAGGCGTTGCCGGCCTTGGTGCGGGGGTACGTGGTGTTTATGTACGACGTTACCGAGAAGGTCTTCTGGTCCAGCTGGGCCACCATGATGCTGTCGTCCACACTGGAGGCAAAGATCAACCACAGGCCATTTTCATCCACGGCCAGTTTGAAGTAGGTCTTGGAGTTGGGGATCAGATAGGCGAGGTTGTTGAACAAGGCATCATCTACGTGGAGGGTGTGAAGACGATGGATTTTCAAGTCAAACCTGCGAACAAAAAGTTGTTAACTCAAGGAAAGAGACTTGTCTGCAGCGTGAACAGACGTCCTCATCCCCCATCAGAGGCTTGAGACACTACTTTTTCAAAGTGGAGTGATTATACAACAAATTATGTTTTAAAAACAAGAACTAGATGCAGAAGTTTAAATTTAGTTTGGATTTCCTCTCAGATTTATGCATACAGGCTCAAATATCAAAACCAAGAAAATCCCATTGAACTCACAGCTCTCTTCAAGGTAGAGCTGGACCTGAAGGCCTATACATGCAAGAACTCGTGCAAGAACATGAAAACTCCACACAGAACAATTTCAGGTCCCAGCCGGGGGTTGAGCCCAGGACCTTCTTGCTGTGAGGTGACAGTGCTAACCACTAATCCATTGTGTTGCTCTGTCATTATAGGGGTACTGAAGGTTCTAGAAGGTCTTTTAACTTAACGAGGTCTTCCTGTCAGATGGAAGGAAACTGATTCTGATTAACATTTTTAAGCCCCACCAAGGACCAAATCTGCCATGAACTGGAAACTGCTGGAACACCAGTGTCCCTGTCCACCAGTGAAGACCACTTTATATCGCTGTAGACTGAGAGAACCAAGAAGCTCAAAAACCTTCAAGCTGGACTGAAACCTTCAACTTTCCTCATGGACAAGACAAATGTCTTCTGGAGAGATGACACAAAGACTGAGCTGTTTGGATACAAAGACATTTGAAGGAGTCAAGGTGAGGCTTTCAGACTTAAGGACACCGTACTAACTGTCAGGCATGGTGGTGGTAGCATCATGCTGTGGGACTAAAGTAGACAGAATAATGGAGGACTACCACCTAATTCTTCAACTTCACCTCAAATCAACATCTAGACAGTTCAAGCTTGGAGATAGTTGGAGCCAACAGAACAATGGTCCCAAACATCAAAACTGGTTCCTGATGGGATAAATCAGGCTGACATTTAGCTTCTGGAACGTTCTTCCCAAAGACCCAACCGGAACCTGATAGAATGTTTGAGCAATCTGATTAAAAGACGGGTCTGAAACCAGGAAACCAACCAGTTTAAATGAATCTACCATTTCTGTTAAGAAGAAGCAGAAGAAGGGTCGGATATCAGCCGTGATTCTTCTGAAGCTTGTCGATGGAGACAAAAAGTCTGTCGTCCAGGAGACACTGGCTGGGGGGCATTTATCCAACATCGGTGGGTTTTGATACATAATTCAATCAAAACCAGGATGAGTGGTTCAAAGCTTCTGACCTTGGCTGTAAGACGTCTGTTCTTACCTGCCGACACTGGACGTTCCAGCTATGTGATAATAGAAGGAACCATTGTGGACCGTGTGGCCGCAACCTTGGTAGAACTTCCTCACATCCACAAAGTCGCCACTGTTATTCTGGAAGGCAGCGATGCTTTTATACTCCTTCACCACTCGGCCTGGAGAACATCAAGAAAACATTTAATAACCTTGCGTTGTCCAGACTTTACTGAGTTGCTTTACGTAGAAACTCTGACCAGAAAAATGCTCTGCCACCCAGATCCGCTCATCGTTCGGCTCAGCCGTGTCTTTCATCCAAGCACCAAACGTGGTTTCCATCTTTGCCACATCCCTGGGATTTATCAGAGACTTAATGAGGCATTCTGCAAGAAAAGAAGACATGTTTACCTCCACATACATTGTTACGTATTTCTGTGGATCAGAAAACTCACCATTCTCCTTATCAGGCTGCTCGAGTAGTTTCACCGTCACGGTTTCGTCATTTGGAACGGAGTGTAACAAACCTGAGAGACATCAGTTTGATCTTATTTGAGTTCAGTTTCACAAATAAAAGCAACAATTGCGTAGTTTTAGATGTTCTGGAGGTTTTTGTTTGAAACGTTCATTTTCTTAACTCGTCTTAGAAAAATTCTACATTACACCCCTCAAGGATGTTTACGGCTCTCACCGGAGGGAACTGCTGATTATTCTATCCCCATCAGAACTCTTACAGTGCCTCCAGGAGCATCCTTTGATACTCTCACTGCCCTTGTCATCCCCCCCCCCCCCCCCCCCCCCCCCCCCCCCCCCCCCTTTATGCAACGCTTTTTGTTTTTTTCTGTGGATTCTCTTCTACT